CGCGAAAACGGCTCCAGGCGTCAGACGTCAGACGTCGAACTCGCGAGTACGCATGAATGACATGGTATTTAATCATTCGTCGGGTGATTTTTGTGACAGAAAAGTGTGGTAGGGAACACTGTAAGGATGATGTGGATAATAGTAAGGAACGAGGGAGGCATGCGCGAGGGAGTCAACACAACGATGAGTTCGCTTTTGGATCACTACTGAAAAAATGTAGCCGGTGAAAGTGGCTTGTGTGAATGTTCCAGGACAGTTTCCAGTAACCAAAATATTCGACACAAAACCAGTTCATCCTTTTGACTCGACGTTTTTGTGTGAAGAATATTAGGAGCCGCTATAGAATCTATAATAGCCACTATTGATTGGGATTGTAAATTGATTGATTGTAAATGGGATCCATCCAAGGGCTAAGGATAGAGTTCGGGTAATCTAATAGCCACTAAGCGGGTACCTAACCCTTATGATCGTAAAGGGGTGATTGATCGTAAAGGGGGTCCAAGGGCTAAGAGTTCGGGGTAACCTACCCTAACACAAGCGATATTTGGATGTGTCCAGCGCCAATATAATATCCCTCATAAACTGCATTCTTGTGCATAATAATGAAAATTAATGAACCGAAAAAATAATATCTGTATATTAGTTCCAATGTATAACCTTTTTAGCCGCTTGAATTACGAGAAAAACGAAATAAAAAATATATTAAAAAAAAGTGATTTCGTAAACTAGCGCTTGATTAAATGCGCCGCCGCAGGCTATATTTAGTAAACATAAACAAATATTAAAATCTCTCCACACCTCTGGGCGTATTCAATGACTTTGCGTGTAGAGATGATAGATCACTGGGAGGAGCTTATGTACACTCGATGTCCCCTGTCCTCACAGGGCATTGTTTCGCCGGTGTGACTGGCAACAAAATATTACAAATTATGTCATAGGGTATTGTCACGTGTTTGAAAGTTTGAAAGTTTGTGGGACTGTATTCTAAAGGTAGGCCCCAAATTACATAGATAGATGCTCATGATGTCAATCACTGGATTGCCTGGTTCAGACTCGATTATTAACATACCGCCGTCGTATAGATGGAATATTGGCCAGTGCGGCGTAAACAACAAACAAACAAAATCTAACAACCGTCCACTTGATCAAAGGGGCATTACTCTCATTTACAACACGAAGTTCAAGGTCGTATGTGGCGAGGGATTGCAGGTTTGTGAACTAAACGAAATCACGGATTGACACATTCAAGTAAAATAATAGTGACTTACGGATAATACAGTTTTGAGATGCACACACGCGCTGTGTGTCTATCCATTACTTGTGTGTTTTCTTTTTAAAATAGTAGCAATCGGCAGTAGAATAGACCTTCCAGTGTATAGTTGCAGTGCTACCGACCAGACCCACCGATTCGAATCACCAGCTGATGCCCAAAATAGCCCCGTCCGCACGTAATGTTCTCACAAAATAAAGTGTAACGTTAATAAATGGGTGAATAATAAAACTACCTTTTCAGTTCTACGTCGAGAAAACGTGAAACTACTTGATCGTTTGGATATACTGTGTGACGGCCTTGTCCATAAAGACCTAGATCTAGCACCGAAGAAGAATCCTGTTCGACGTGAGTGGCCGAATGGCCTCCTTGTTAATCCCGTTGATCTTCTTGAGAATGCACCTGTGCGTTGGTGAATTCCTCCAGATCTGTGGCTGGTACGCCTCGACGATGATGAACGACTCCTGCGCCTTCCCATCCCTCAAGAAAAAGCCTTCAGTATTCCGTGTTTACTGATTGACCTTGACCTAGGGACCGTAACTGACTCCCTCAGACGTTTGCAAGCCGCGCAATAGAGAAGTTTGACGGTAGGTGAGTGTGAGTGAGTTGGGTTTACGCCGTTTTTAACAGTATTCCAGTTATACCGCGGCGTGTCAGCTTAATTTGAGAGGAACGCCCGAAGTGGTACAGGTCTCAGACGTTTACCACTTCGGTGAAACCCACGAGCACGGTAATGGTGCTGACAAACCTAGAAACATAATCGGGGCGAATGGGGATTCGCACCCACAATCATAGGTTTCTGGCGTGCCCAAGAGACGCAACACTGCACAGCGAATTGCGGCGCCTTAGACGACTGGGCCACCCGGGCCCCTTGACATTGAATTCGTGAATTTGTATACGACGATATTTGGCTCATGTACATTTCTTAGAAAACTTCTCAGAGTTAAACCAAAGTAACCCTTTATTCTGCTTTATGGTGACCTAGGTACTCCTATTTAAATAAATGTTAAAATAAGATAAAATAATAATATTGTTAAAATAAGGAATAACTTTTGAGTTGAAACGTTTATATCAGGAAAAGTTAGTGAATTGTCCTACATCTTATACACGTTTTTATATAATGATACAATTACAAATTTGAAGAACTTATAAATTGCTAGCATATATTCAAGATGTTTTAAACCAAACTGGTATTGATCTATACATCTATCATAAACAAACAAACAAACACTATGTTAACAAGAGCACGCTTGGAGGTGAGGTGAGGTGAAATTGGGTTTAACGTCGCGTCCAAGATTATTGCACTTATATAGCGACGTGCATGCACGTGTGTGTGTGTGTGGCTGCTTGTACTAGTTCGGACTGATGCCGATTTATAGTGCTAGCTCACTGAGATACCATGCCGCAGTTTAACATGAATACCCCACTCAGACACAGTATACTGACTCCGAGCCGACCACTCCTTGTTTTAGCCCCTTAATGCCGAGCGCCAGACAGGGTAACAACAAGTACCATCTTTTAACGTCTTTTGGTATGACGCGGCCGGGGATCGAACCCAGGACCTTCCGCTCTCCGGGCGGACGCTCTACCACAAGACCACGGAGGCGGCTGAGCACGCTTGGAAAGCGGGTAGAGAACGTGGGTCGAAATGTTCCATTTTTGGCATCTTCAAAATTGACATCATTATTAAATATTGCCTCCCTCTCGCCCTTTCATTACTCTTATTGGGACACCGTGCCAGCGGCTGCCATTCGATCCAGGATGTTGGAATAACACCCCAACACAAGAAAGTATCTGTTGATGATGTGACACGGATGATGTTTGAGATGAATACCATTTTATGTGCATATGTTGATGATGTTCGTAAATTGTATATTCCATACAAATTCAGAAATCTATAAAACAATTTACCTCTAAAACCACTGTTTAAAAGAAACTTTGTCTTTACTGATATGGTTATGGAAACATTTGGTTGGTTTGTTAGTTTCACGCCGCACTCAGCATTATTCCAGCTATATGACGGCGGTCTGTAAATAATCCAGTCTGGACCAGGCAATCCAGTTATTGACATCATGAGCATCGATCCACGCAGTTGGGATCAATGACATGCATCAACCAAGTCAGCGAGCCTGACCACCCGATCCCGTTAGTCGCCTTAAAACTGGTTGTACCTCATGTGTTGAGGTCCTCCACCTGAGTATGTTATGGTAGCTCCGTAATCTCAGATTGGAAATTTGGCCAAATCCAACTTCTTCAACTTTTGAATATATTTTTTAATCTGTATGTGTCGGATGTGGACGCGTCATTGGCCACATAAATATGCGATGGTTCAAATGACTCACATTGAGTTCCTGGTTAGTCGGTGTAATATACTGTATAACTACATGCTCACGTGTAAACTTCCCCTTGTTCTTTGCTTCCTGCAAATATTGTCACTTCACTTAAAACAAAGATGGCACAACCATCCAAGGCCTTAGAGGTGCGTCCCTTAGGCGTGGTAGTAGCCTATGATCGTGGGTTTGAATCCCAGATTGATCCTGATAATGTTTCTAGCGTTTGCTCGCGGGTTTCACCAATTGGTAGCCGTTTCTCTCGCTAAGTACGCCAACAGTACGAAAAAAACTGAAATAATGCTAAAAACGGCGGTAAACTCACTCACTTATTCAGATATTGATATGTCAGTTCAGTGAAAAGAGTGACCCTTTTATATAATATAAATAAATAATGAATGAGTATACAAAACTATTTTGGAAGGACATTTATCATTTGAGATGAATAGTGTTTATGTAGTGTAAATTAAGTAAACATATTTACTGAAAAACAAAAGGAACCGGAATCAAGATAAACTAATATATAATGTCCAATTCTGCAGCTGGGTTGAGTCGCAGCACAGTGCTGTCACAAGCACGACACGAGTCCCAACATGGATGCCTGCCAAAACTGGCCCAGGTCCTATTGGTGTGCAGTATACCATGCTATTGCTGTTTGTTTGTCGTTAAACGCCGCACTCAGCAATGTTCCAGCCATGTGACAACGGTCTGAAAACATTCGAGTCTGGACCAGACGATCGAGTGATTGACACCCGGAGCATCGATCTACGCAATAGCGATACGGTGACATGCATCAGCGAGCCTGGCCACCAAGGTCCCGTTAGTCGCCTCTTACGACAAGCATGGGATGCTGAAGATCACCCTAACCCGGATCTTCACGCTATGCATTGCATATCGAGTGAGTGAGTGAGTGAATTGGGTTTAACGCCGCTTTTAACAGTATTCCAGTTATATCACGGCGTGTCAGCTTAATGTGGGAGGAAAGCCCGAAGTGATGCAGGTCTCAGACGTTTACCACTTCGGTGAAACCCACGAGCACGGGTATGGTGCTGACAAACCTAGAAACATAATCGGGGCGAACCGGGATTCGAACCCACAATCATAGGTTTCTGGCGTGTACAAGGGACGCAACTCTGCACAGCGAATCGCGGCGCTTTAGACGACTGGGCCACCCGTGCCCCCTCATAGCATATCGATGTCGACTTATCTGATGATCTGGTGGTCAAAGTGTTTGACCTGGGAGATAGCTTGTCATGGAGCCTGGACGTGCTATCAACGGCTACAATCACACAAACCGTGAAGCCCATTTTTGAGGTTTCCTCGACGTGTTGTGGCTAGACGCGGCGAAAAACAATACTCACTCTATTATAATAACTCGGCAAACAACAAATCAAAACTCAGAATTTTTCTTCTTTTATTATCCACCAGAATCATTCTTCTGTATGAAAAGGTGATTTTTCAATATGGAAATAAATTTCAATAATAAGTATAACAATAAATAAGGATGCTTGTCTAGCAATTAACTCATGTATATGCTCAACGCGCAACAAATGGTATCCGATAAACGGGTTGTGAAAACATTTGAACATCAAATAGTGTAAGATCTCTGGTAATATCGTTCTGTAGTTGTTCCTTGTTTAAATAATACCCTTCATAACACGAAAACAACAGCAATACGAAACCAACCCAGACTGACGTCAGTTAACAATGCAGCTATCACTTCGTTGTGTCTTCGGCCTTGACCTTACCCGCCTCTCGGGGTATAACGCCATTTCCTGAGCATAAAGTCTCAAATGGCGGCCAGTGGGCTCAGTTGCGCGCCTGTTTCCCCGACCAGTCGTTATCAATATATCTCTGAGTGAAGGTTCCGAGTTCGAATCTCTTTCTCTCCGTGGCAGCTGACCAAAGTCGTTCCTTGATCTCATCCATGGCCGTAAATCGGGGGATAGAAAATGGGGTGCCTCGGGGGGATTTGCGCGAGTTTCAGACACCATGTAACGGTTCTGGTTGCAACGTAAACGTTGACGTTCGGCTTCCTCTTCTGCACGCAGCTCGTTTACTGCTTCCGTAACCATTGGCGACGAAGGCGGGGTGTCAACTTTGTGTTCCGTACCAAAGAGTTCTTCATAACTCGGCGGCGAATCCAAAATGGCCCGGAGCTCAGCTGTTGGAAATACGGAAACAAAACTGCAATAAGCACAATAATCAATGTACACAGGATTTGATGCTGAATGCAGACACTGCTTTTTAAGAAATAAACGACTCGTGGTTGTTGTTTATCGTACAAAAAACACTGCAGGGAGAATAAACCATGAGGGGCGCACGTTCTATACCTTATGCAGTTATTTCTATTGGATATTGAAAGGTTCTTTTCGCTTTATTTAAGTGATAAATACCAATGACAAATGTGATTTTACAAAAGAAACATGTACAATATGTTAAAACACAACTGCATAGATTAAAATTCATTATTTATTCACCAAAAAATGCTCTTAAGATAGGCAACATCAACCAGATTTTTTTCACAATGAGCATTTTTTTAAGCTTGGAAATGATTATTTCAAGATAAAATTGGTACGGCACACACCAAGTAAAAGAAAGACAGTTTATGGCCAGCAATTTGCATAGTTTCTGATGTCTCATTCCAGGCTGATTCCGCATCATCGAATTTTAAATCTTTTAGTAAGGTAAATTTCAAACATTATGTCAACAACCTCAAAGTATGGAAACATTAAGGTAACTGCCAATAATGAGAAAAGGTGTACATTATAAAAGACTGTGATTTTGCACAATGGTAAGCCTTCAGTAAGCCAAGCTTCATGCCAACAGCATAAATTATCATGTCAACTGCCTCAGTGCATCAGGAACGTGAAAGTAGCTGCCAATCAATTGAATAATTCCCATTCAGCAAATAATTCTGCATTTGGGAATTCGATAACTCATTAGTTTGCCAAAATTTCAACCATCATGTCAACTGCCTCATAGTATCAAGAACATGACAGCAACGGCCAGTCAATCTCATTGCACTTATATGGCGACATGCATGCACGTGTGTGCTTGTGTGCGTTGCTGCTTGATTTGCCAGACTGATGCCGATTTTATAGTGCCATCCCACTGAGATACCATGACTCAGTTTAACATGAATACCTGACTCTAAGCCGACCAGTCCTTGCTCTATCCCCTTATCGATTAGCAGGGCAACAGGAAGTACCATATTTTAACTTCTTAAGGATCGAACCCCGGACCCTCCGCACTCCGGGCGGACGTTCTACCACCAGACCTCGGAGGCGGTCCATATGTTGCTTGACATTGATATGGACGAGACTTAAAGGACATTGCATTTGAATATAATAATAGGGTACATTGCAGTCATTAGAGTAAGAATTAATAAGGATGCCATGCATGCACATAACTGTTCACCTGATATGTGTTACATACAGAAGGTCAAATATGTCATTACGATCTCATAGTTATCATGACGTAGTGGTATAAGAGCTTGTATGCACATATCATTGATGGGGACTTATCTGGACCTAAAGATTCCATGCCCATCCGGAGCATTGCTTTTTATGTACTAAAATTTATATATGTGTGGATGATAAGGAATATATTCAGTTATTTATATTCCTTTGTTATTCAAGTCGGGAGTTTCTAAATGAATGTCTTTGGTTTTTTGTAAAGCATGACATGTACGGTGATGTAGAACGCCTTTGTACTAGTTTGTTTGTTTGTTTGTTGTTCAACGCCGCACTCAGAAATATACCAGCTATATGACGGCGGTCTGTAAATAATCGAGTGTGGACCACGCAATCCAATGATTGACATCATGAGCATCGATCCAAACAATTGGGTTACGATGACATGCATCCACCAAGTCAGCAAACCTGACCACCCGATCCCGTTAGTCGCCTCTTACGACAAGCATAGTCGCCTTTTACGGCAAGCATGGGTTGCTAAAGACCTATTCTACCCCGGATCTTCACGGGTCCCTTTTGTTCAAGCAGTCCTGGGATTTGCAACTTGAAAGCAAATAGTGTCGGTTGTGACATTTAGAAATGGGGGAAACAATGTCTAAGGGCTCACAAAACAAATATTGACAAATAGTGAATGAGTAATCCTCGCCAACAACCTCCATGATTTCACTAAAAGAAAACTAACAGAAGTAGTCCACATTCGCCGCCACAAGCCATCAATCATCAGAGGTCAAGGCTATTTCATCCAATCCGCCTACTATGAACTCATCAAGCAATAATCACTTATCCTGTTTATTGGCTTCATGTCCCTATTGGCCTCCACCTATGTGTTCTCTGTCCATCGTGTTGTGACAGCATCATCCCTTTGTTGTCAACACCTACCCATGTTATCCCACTCATGTATGCAATTGTTGTTACTGTTAATCCTCTCCTGTTAATCCTCTCCTGTTAATCCTCCACTAGATAGACACAATTGTATGGATAACAACTTCTTTAATACTGTGAAAAGCGACGTTTCGGTATAGATCCTTATACCGATGTCAAGCAAGACACCGTTGTCCACCTACTATATATATTCTGTACTACTATGTCCCTCATTCAGTCTTGCTTGACAAAGGTATAAGGATCTATACCGAAACGTCGCTTTTCACAGTATTAAAGAAGTTGTTATCCATAAAATTGTGTCTATCTTGTCATCCGTCAACTTCTAAGTAATGCCTATCAAACAATTTAAACCATACCCGTGCTCGTGGGTTTCACCGAAGTGGTAAACGTCCGAGGCCTGCATCACTTCGGGCATTCCTCCCACATTTAGCTGACACGCCGTGATTAAACTTCAGGGCGGGGGAGAATAAAAGCGACAAATGCGCTTACGATTGGCGCAGCAGAGGTCGCGAATTTGTCTAGATTTCTGCTATATCATCCAGGTACTCGCGGGGGAAAAACAATAACAAAGGCAACAACCAGTCCCGGGCAGTTGCTGTAGATCAGTGCCCCTTTAATCAATCTATTGACAGGGCTGTACGACATTCGACGGCACGTAATGTGTTGGTTGAAGCCTCAACGTCACGTGGTCTCTAGACTAGCACTGCAGTACGTGAGCTAGCCAATCTGTATGGTTAATATCAGGTCGTCGTACGTGATCTCCTTATTTCTGCTCAGTCATGATCACGTGTGCTGAAATAGTTTTTATCTATTTCAAAGATATGAATGTTTGCTTGACGCAACATCGTAGAACAAGAATGCTCCTCTTATTTCATAACAAATAAAAACATACATGAATTTATGATTTGTCATTTACGAATGTCATTTGACATGGTTGTCCAACCACATAGATTATAGTCATGATACATTAACAGTTATCCTCTTTCTAATGACAATAACAACAATAACAATAACAATGACAATAGTGTCATGGAAAGCTCGTCAAATAATAATATTGGAATGACGAAAGTGGTTATATTACTTAATCCTTTCCAGTACAAATTAATAATTAATGCAATTGTGGTTGTAACAGTTTCAATCGTATTGACTAGTACATTAATTATTAATACCCTTTCACTACCGTGCACTCCATTATTCGTCGAAATCTCTCTCTCTCTCTCTCTCTCTCTCTCTCTCTCTCTCTCTCTCTCTCTCTCCCCTATCTATCTCTGTGTCTCTCTCCCCTCCCCCTGTCTCTCTCCCCTTCTCTGTGTCTCTCTCAATCTCTCCCCTATCACTGTCTCTCTCTGGTTCTCTTTCTCTCTGCCCCTCTCTGCCCCTCCCCTCTCTCCTATCTCTGTCTCTCTCCCTCTCTCTGTGTCTCGCCCCCCCCCCCCCCCCCCCCCCCTCTCTCTCTCTCTCTGTGTCTCTCTCTCTCTACTTATGGGACAGGGTTAATCGTATTTGACAAAATAATCAATTCTTTTGCAACATCTGCACTCAGCTGCCCAGCTAACAAAAAACAATACCTTGATACTCTCTCACACAATAAGTCCCAGAGTAAGTCGTCTTACCACTATAGTGCTGCGACATGACGTCGATGTGGCGGCCTTGGCGTCCTCAGATTATCCGTATCCCTCTCACAGATGTCACAGATGTCACATATCACAGTCTACGAGGATCACACAACATCCGCGTACAGATATAGTGACAGCAACACTTAGAACAGTTGACCCATTGTCGGTTATCTTCAAAACCCGCTGTTACACTTTGTATACAGTGTCCCAAAAGAGGTATATATACAATAGCACTGTCCAATATAAAAGATTTCGAGAATTGACCCTGGTAGTTGCACGATGATTGTACAAATCAAATATCTGCCTAAATAATCTCAAAGTCCTACTGACTTAACGACACGTGATCTGGTTGTCATGGTGATGATCTACATAACTTTATCACGAAGATAGATACATCACGTGATATTAGTCATCACGTCACTTTTCTTACCAACGTACATGTATGTCGAAATGTTCCTTTTGATATCGGCAACATTCGGAAGCGGGGAGCTGTGGGTATTATACGTGCGCTTGGATCAATAACACGATAGCGTTGTTTGTTGTTCAACACCCCACTCAGCAGTATTCCAGCTATATGCCGGCGGTCTGTAAGTAATCGAGTCTGGACCAGACAATTCAGTGATTGATGTTATGAGTATAGATCTACGTAGTTGGGATAACATGCACCAGCCAAGTCAGCGAGTCCGACTACCGTATGCTGTCGCCTCTTTCAACAAAAAGGAAGTAGGTTTGGAAGAGTTATCTACCTTGTAATGTACCAAGCCAAGCTCCTTCCCAGCGCGTGACACCTTCGTTACACTCTCGGTAGTATAGAGAGCTCCGCGAACGGGTTATCGCTGTGAGGAGCTGATTATGCAAACAACAAAGTAAATTCACCTGGAAAACATGGTCAGTCGTAAACCTTTTCAAAATGAAATATGATGGCATTCCCAAAGACATAAACAAAAGTATAAACGTTACTACATTTGGGGTTAAAGGTTAAATTTCAAGATTCTTGTAATGGCCGCGCCCACACTTGTGGCAGCGATGTTACCGAGAGTGTAACGAAGGTGTCACGCGCTGGGAAGGAGCTTGGTAATCTACCAAGTTCTTTCGCAGTATAGTCCAGTCAGCGAGAAACGGCCATGAAAAGAATGTTGAAAAGTTTCCGGCTTAGCTAAAATATAGTGACATGTATAAATTTGTGTATGTCTTTGGGAAGATCTATTTCGCAGATGAATGAATACACGTTTGGTTGGTTGGTTGGATGGTTTTCTTTAATCATATTGGTTCGAGATTGCAGACCAACGGAAAAGCACCCAACTATTTACATGCATTCGCACTAAACTAATTACACGTTAGTTAAAAAGAAATAGAAATTCAAATTCAAACATACGAAACAATAGCAGTTATCAAACTACAAAAGAAATGTTTGGGCCCAGTCAATAAAACTGCCGACCCCTGGTGCCCATATCTGGATGAATGTATATACATGCTTCTGTTATCAAATGGTCGGAAATACAAATGTACAGACAAAATAGTAGCTCATGTATGTCATTATAGAACACATATGTAACTTGTTAATAAAACGTGAAATGCTACTAAAATAATTAACTTACTGGAACGATACAACATTTTAACAAAGTATGTAATTTACATTGCCAAACAGTTAAACGAATAACATTGTATACATCAATGTATTGTCATGTACAATCATAGTATGCGCTCATTGCGTATTCTAGTCTGTCTAGCAGACCCTAGAGAGAAAAAAATAATAAAGAAGTCCAACTCAAGTCTAGAATGTTTTGGCAAGTCTAGATTGCCTAAGCTCTGAAATTAAGGATTGTTCTGGGCTCCATTGGTATTTTATTATTTTTATAATTTGTAGACATATATGTTTAAATAAGATAACCCTTTTCTGTGACTAAATGCGCATTTCTCAAAAGTAGCTTTTTCACGATGATAACAAACTATCTCCGTAACAAATACGTTGAAAATTGGTAAAAACATAGATATAGACGTGTGAGATTACCTAATTTTCCTTCTTATGAGATAATGTTCAGACAGCGTTCTCCTCATAAGTCCTATTTTTAGAAGTTGGTCTTATTTTGTAAACACAACTCACAGCAGACAGTCTCGGATTACAGAAACTATCTGAGGGGAGTTTCTTGCCATTCTGACCTAATACTACCACAAGGTGAATTATTACCAACGTGGCACTACGTAAACAGGAGGTCATGAAAAAAGTGTTTTAAAAACATATAATACCTGCATTAAATTTAGTTGGCTGATTGGCTGATTTGATTTCGCATAAAATCATAAATGTACCATATAGTAAATACATATACTAGATTAGATCTAATGTTCAAGGTCGAGACATACTCTTTAAAAAACTAGAGGACCGTGAACCATACATGTATACACCAAGTATTAGAACAAAGATAACGTAAGTGTTCACGACAAACATCCCATGCAGTCAAGAACGATTATGTCTGTAACACTTAACACCAAAACGCATCCTATAGTTTGCACGTGCCTCACGCAGTAGCGTCACACACGTGCGTAGTGTGTCATTTCTGATGTTGGCACTTTCAAGGAAGGTCAAATAATCTGTGTGGACCATTATTTCTGTCCATCATATTAAATCTGTTTTTCATACAGTTGTGATTTACTTGATTTCAGTTTTATTTCATTCCTTATTAACTGATGTATATTCTTATCAAACAGACAGGAATTATATCCGTAGAAAGGCCATGAGGCCAACAATGCAATTCACAGTTACAATTAATTAATAAACTGGCCAAACCTTTATAATTATTTCTTGATCAACAGAAATGTCGCAAATCGAAAGCTCTCTGTTTGTCCCGAAACCCGAAATACACTGTCTTTGTCTATTTCTATCGTGTTTTCTGCTATAAATGTATTGTCACACATACTTTGAATGTTGGAGTAACGCAACATTACATTGTGTAACCTACATTGTATAATTGTACAAAGCAGTATTTAAATTTTAAAATGACAATGTCAGAAAAAATACTTTTCTTTTAAAATGAACCCCCCTACTGATGCGGCCGTAAAACCGAATGTTTCAATTAGGGTTGGTTATTTTGATTTGATACCTCTGATGGACCAATCAGAATCGAGTAATTCTAAAATCCACGAGGAACTTGAAAACGTTTGATAGGTTTGTTTCCTTATGATACCCTTATTGTCCCAGAAAACTGAAGTTGGGACTTTGCCAACTGAGTCCACCTGCTTGTGTTTCGTTATAGGGTGAATATGTTAAGTCGGGTCAAGCACCTATCTGGAGTGAATATTCTGGGAGTGTGATGGCTATGATGGAGGGTACTGACCAAAAACTGACCCCAATAGAGTCAGCCACAACTGAAGTGTGACACGCCATAGACATGCAACCGTGCTACTTTTTATCCCCCGCTGGGCCAGAATGGCCGAAGGGGGATTATGTCGTGGCGCAGTCCGTCCGTCCGTCCGTCCGTCTGTCTGTCTGTCTGTCTGTCCGTCCGTCCCACAGAGGGTACTAAGCTTGTGAAATCAACTCCTCCTACAGTTTCCAGAGAATATCCCTGACACTCTACACACACGATGTCGACATGTTGATGATACGCATATCGCAGTCCCGTTTCATTTCGACTAATTTTGACAGAGTTACTGCCCCTGTTTTACGGAGCTTCATTTGCCTAATTGTGAGAGAGGTACTAAGCTTGTGAAATCAACTCCTTCTCCAGCTTTTAGGGAATATCACTGACACTCTACACACAAGATGTCGACATGTTGATGATACGCATATCGCAGTCCCGTTTCATTTTAACAAACTTTAACAGAGTTACTGCCCCTGTTTTACGGAGCTTCATGAAATCTACTCCTCCTCCAGTTTCAAGAGAATATCACAATATCTAACTATAACTATAACTATAGTTAGTTTCCTTGTATAAGGCTTTTGTGGGTGAGCTACATCCTTATGGCATTAGCATTCAGACTGGATTACTCCCAACAAAATGTTCTGCACAATTTGTTTCAAATGCAGTACCATCTACTGTTGTTATTTCATAAAATACAAAGAAAACATAAACTCGTTAAAAGAATTCATGCGGGGGATGTTGTGCTCTCAGAGCACTCTCGTGTCAGTCAGGAGCCCATTTCTAACAGTTGAACATGAGGACAGGCCTTCCATTCATATCTTGGAGTGAATCCATTTAAATGGTGATGTGGTTTCGACATGCAGTACTTCATCCCAGTTCGTATTTCAGTCTTCTTCATTTTCGCAGCTTCGTTCTGTGGAATTCCCCAGTTGACTTCTCGAACACAGAAGCAGTCTTCCACAGATGCTATTTGTAATACTGGTGTTTAAACTCACATTACACAGTGCAATATCTATGATTTCGTCCTGGTTATCTTGTCACACCATCTAGATCAATGCATCTTGGCCAGTGTGTTATTTCTAGGTCGGTATTTCCAGCTCACTACATCCAGGTCACTACATTGTGGTAGCAACTCATTTCAATACATTCAGCTCCGTGCATACGTCAATACATCCCGGTCAGTAAATGTAGGTCAATACAATCTGATCAGTACATCCAGAGGAATACACTCTGGTCAATACATCCATTTCAATACATTCTGCTCCGTCAGGTCTATACAATCTGGTCAATACATCCATTTCAATACATTCTGCTCCGTGCATACGCCAATACATCCCGGTCAATAAATGTAGGTCAATACATCCTGGTCAGTACATTCTGATCAGTACATCCAGGTAAATACACTCTGGTCAATACATCCATTTCAATATATTCTGCTCAGTCAGGTCAATACACTCTGGTCAATATATCCATTTCAATACATTCTGCTCCGTGCATACGTCAATACAGCCCGCTCAATATATGTAGGTCAATACATCCTTGTCAATACATTCAGATCAGTACATCCAGGTCAATACACCTAGGTTCACACCCGATGTCAGATATGTCCACAATGATTTCGCTGATCGCATGTCATCGGGTACCGATGTCGTGAAAGGTGTCTCATCCTTTTAGTCACCGATTTGCATGGTCCAGACTCGACCGCAGTGTATCCCTGAAATGTGGCATAAACCAACATTCGCCCATTCACACGTCACTATCTTTGCATTCAATGTTCATATGATTTTCAGCATCCCTTATCGCGAGTCATATGACAGCGTTTTACTTACTGACTTCAATTCAAGTGGCATTAAATGACGCTCACACAAACCACATGTTTGAGACCATGTGAGCTATGTTGTAGATAACACCGTGTATATAACGGTTCTTGCCCCCACACCCGTCACTCCAGCCACCGTCCTCACCCACCAAGGTAAGAGGTGATACGGGAGTCATGGGTAGTGATACCTCCAGGATCACGTGATGTGTAGTCTCATACCATGTCAGATTGTCCAGCTGAATGGTGTTTGTCTGAGGATGTCGGTAATGTCATAGAAAACGCATTTAACTGAGATAGTGTATTATTTGTTACTTTGTGAGTGAATGCGTATTGTTTTACACCGCTTTTAGCAATATAACAGCAATGTCACAGCGAAGGACACCCCATGTGGAGAATCAACCCGGGCGTGACGATCTAACATCGAGTCTACCCCCACCCCCCCACCCCACACCCACACACACCCAAACACACACACACACTCCACTCCCACCCCCATTTATAATCACCGCGTCTGTACATGTGCGTGTACGTATTTGCGTTTCTATGTGGCTATGGTAAATTAAGAATTGATCGAAAAAAATAATAAATGTTTTTTTACTATTGTAGATGTTCCGCTTTGCCGTGGTTGCCCTGCTTGCTGCTGTTGCCGTCGCAGTAGATTTGAACAGAGAGTGGGCCATATTCAAGACCTCTTATAACAAGAATTACCTGACAGAGGAAAATGATGTCGTCAGGTGAGAGAATGTGTTTGTTTTTGTGAGAACCTAGACTAACATCTAGTCTCTGGAATGAACATATCGTACAGAAAAACAGTTGTTCAGTTATCTTAATAAAAATATTATATAAGGGAGCCCAGTGACTGCAGTAATCTAGACTTGCCAAACATTATAGACTTGCATGGGCTGTATTTGATATATTTTTGTATCAACGTCTGTAAGACAGACTAGTGAGAACCCTAAAACACATAAACTTCTGATTTAATTTGTGAGGAGTGACTTGAAAGAAATGTACACGAATGTGTCAAATAACCGTTTTTCCTTTTATTCCTTAAATCAAGACCGACAGAATTATGTGCACAGTGAGTGAGTGAGTTTCAGCTTGGTGTGGCTTGAACACCCTAAGTAATACAGGACAAGTTTCCTTTTATTCCTTAAATCAAGACCGACACAATGTGCACAGTGAGTGAGTGAGCTTCAGTTTGGTGTGGCTTGAACACCCTGAGTAATACAGGACAATTTACCACGTGTGTAGGTGTGGTGCTGAGAAACCTTGAAACATAATCAGGACGAACCGTGTGCACAATGACTCAACAGACCTAGTTACCTACCCCTACACTTCTGTCTGTACCGACTGCATGATAAACGTCAAAGCTAACACAGTATAAACTACATGGAGGCAGATAGCCTACGATTTATTGACATATACTACTCAATGTTTGCTAAGGATAAAGTTTTGATAATATAAAAATAATCATCCAACAAATAAAGATTGAAATATCCCGGGACACAATGACTGGGTTACCCCATTAGGACCTCAGTTTCATGACGACGGAACGAGGCATGACGTCATGGGCACGATGTGAACGAGATGCTTGAAAACCTGTGTTTAGATGTATCGTGACAGAATCGTTGCACATAATTATCAGAGAGTACAACATTTGCTGCTGAGGAGCACTGATGCCCCTTTGAAGACGCCGTTTATCGACCGAAGAATTAGGCAGATGCTGGGTCAACATAGCCTCACGTTACAAACGTCTTTGATGTCGCCCAAAGTGTGATCAGCAGGGCATGGAATCAATACCAGACGTTTGGTACCCAGGTGGTCGACAACGTTCCTTAACACAACGGGAAAGACAGGTTTCTCCTGATTGCAGCCAGACGTCATCACTCCGTTGCTGGCACCACACTCAGAAATGACCTTCAGAACGCCAGTGGCGTTAACGTTTCTACTCCAACAGTGCACATCCTACATCACAGGACCACATGTTCAGATTTGGCTGTAGATCACGTCAATTGACGAATCGAGGTACTGTCTGGATTATACAGAGTGTGGCTTAGACAAGGAGAAAGACTTCAGGATTCCTACGTAGCCGAACATATGTTCAAGCATGATTTTGGGTGGGATCAGTAGAGCTGGAAGAAGCGATTTCCATGTCCTACAGCGAGGTACGATGACAGATGTACGCTACAGGGATGACATTCTGACCGGACTTCATCTTCATGGACAAAAACGCACGACCTAAACGTGTCAGGGTGGTTGATGCCTATATAGAGCAGGAGACCATTGTCCAGATGGAGTGGTCAGACGGTCACCAAACCGCAACGCTATCGAACACGTGTGGACACAGCTGCAGAACGCCCTCTCACGACCCCCTGGCCTTCTCTATTGCGTTTAATGTCTCGGAATGTGTCGACCTTATTTCAAGTAAGTGTTATTGTGGTTGATGTGATTTAGCCAGACAAACATTTAGTCTCTGAAATCTTATATTACCCAATATCCTTCTTGACCCTAAAAATAAAAAATAATCCGTAGACTTGCTTGTGTATGGCATTGCGTTTCTAGATTATTTTTTTTTCATAAAATAAATACATTCCACAGTCATGGTGCAGGACTATGATTTAGCATCCCTTACACAGAACTGGAGTTCGTGATACTTGACATGTATTTGTTATTATTTTGCAGCTTTAAGGCCAGGCTGTGCCCACGTGTACACGAAATCGCAACTGAAGGCCGAAAAATGAAGTGACGTCCTTTGCTTCTGCATGACGAACGGAACGTTCCGTATGAAGTATCCTGTATGGGATATCAAGGCCGCAGCACGATTGTCCTTGTCGTTAACACGAGTCTGTGTTTTACCATTCCTTGAGTTGTCTCCCTTGTATTTCAGACGCATGATCTGGGAGAACAATGTGAAGTACATCCAGACTCACAACCTGGAGGCTGATAGAGGGTTGCACACCTACAGACTCGGGGTCAACGAGTACGCAGACCTGGTGGGTTGACATCCAAAGGGAACTGTTCATCCAAGCCATGTGGTTCAGGATTTGGTGGGCTTTGACCTGTGTTTCACTTTACTCGTTAGAGAAAGTCTGGCGTGAAACGTGTCTTCGACTTTTACCACGAAACACACCCGCATGGGTATGATGCTGATAAACCTAGAAACATAATCGGGATTCTAGCCCTCGAGTTGACGTTACTGGAACAGCGAATTACGAGACCTAAGGTCACTGGACCACCCGTGATTCTGATGTCATACTGAGGTCAGAACATGTATCGCATGTCTTGAGATGTTTTGTGAGATCAGTGTTAATCATACAATTACTTAAAAGAAACACAGAAAGTGTTCACTTTGATTTAGTCATTTCTTATTGAGGGGCAGTGGGGTAGCAGTGGTTACAGCAGGGGTTAAAGTGTTCGCTCGTCACGCCGACTTGTGTTACTTTGATGAAAGCCACAAGCATGGTATAGTGCTGACAAACCAAGGATTGTAATGAACTAATAACGCTATGTATTCCCTCTCAGACTACGGAGGAGTTTGTGAAGCAGATGAACGGCCTCCGGATGGCCAACACAACAGGTGGCGCCACCTACCTGCCCCCCAGTGTCGGAGATCTCCCGGCCGAGGTTGACTGGAGGACCAAGGGATACGTCACAGAGGTCAAGAACCAGGTAGGCCTACCGATTTCCATGTACAGTGTATATCCATGTATTACTACTTGGGTGAAGACCGACAACGTGGTCGAGTTGGTAGAGTGTCTGCCTGGAGAGCGGAAGGTCGGGGGTTAGGATTCCCTGGCATGGTAATACCAAATCACGTGAAAAGATGGTCCTTGTTGTTACCTTGCCTGGCGCTCGGTATTAAGGGCAGACAAAAATATCTGGTCCGTTCGGTTTACTGTGTCTCAATGGAGTTTCCATGTTAAACTGTGGTATGGTATTATAAGATAGGCATAGCAGTTACACACGTAACACATGCACGTTGCAATAATCTTGAACGCGACGTTAAACCCCATTTCACCTCACCTACATTGGACTGGCGTCTAACTAAGAATCCTAAGAATCAGGGCAAATCAACCAAAACAAGAACAACTTAATTTATTCTTTATTGTTTGTTTGTTTTGTTTATTGTCGAACGCCGCACTCAGAAATATTCCAGCTATATGACCGTGGTCTGTAAATAATCGAGTCTGGACCAGACAATCCAGTGATTGATATCATAAGCATATATCCACGCAAATGGGATAAGATGACATGCATCAACGAAGTCAGCGAGCCTGACTACCCGATCCCGTTAATCGCCTTTAACGACAAGCATGGCCCGGTTGCCGAAGACCTACATATATTTTAACCCGGATCTTCACGGGTTTATTCATTTTAGTTATGAAATCCCAGCTAGCAATTCCTGCAGGAGATTGGAAAATTGAGATAGCTTAATATTTTCTCTCTCTTGTAACCCATGTGGAGAGTCGAACCTGTGCCTTCGACGTGACGAACGAACGCTTTAACCACAAGAGTAATCAACCACTCCCAGAATCTTGGAGAAAAAGAAAAAGATGGAAACAAAATAGAGACATGCGTGTTATCTGGCATTATTTTACTAGTGACCTTCACCTTCAGCTGAAGTGCGGATCCTGCTGGGCGTTCTCCGCCACCGGCTCCCTGGAAGGTCAACACTTCAAGAAGACTGGAAAACTCGTGTCTCTGTCTGAGCAGAACCTGGTCGACTGCTCCCAGTATATAGGTACTGTCAGATTGCGAAAGAGTGAGTGAGTGAGTGACATTCGCCGATTTGAACAGTATTTCAGTTATATCACGGTGCGTCACCTTAATATTGGAGGGAATAGTGTAGATTTAGATGATGTTTGTCTATTTGATGAACCAAACAGCATGTCTGATACTGACAACCCAAGAATCATAAAAGAAACGCGAATCTTGATCGTCATGGGAGAGGTTTAATGTAGGATAAAAAAACATGTTTCCTTAATTGTTTAGACACACCCCTAAGACCTACTTGGTAAAATGTCAGGAATGATCCATTAAGCTGGTGAAGAGATACCAAATTCGATAGCACGAGACGAGAAGGCGATAATACCAAACGAAAAAGCGATAGCACAAGACAGGAAGTATGTGTGTGTGTGTGTGTGTGTGTGTGTGTGTGTGTGTGTGTGTGTGTGTGTGTGTGTGTGTGTGTGTGTGTGTGTGTGTGTGTGTGTGTGTGTGTGTGTGTCTGTGTCTGTCTGTCTGTCTGTCGGACTTACTCTCTGTCTGTCTGTCTGTCTGTCTGTCTATCTATTTGTCGGACTGACTGTCTGTCTATATACATGTATGTGGTAGATATTTATAAACCTCACATTCGAACGCGGAACTGATGACAACCAGACAGTTTAAAAGACAGAGAACTGTTATATAACTATGTATATACCTGCTTGAACAAAAAAGCCTGTATATGGTCGGACTGATATCTAGTCTCACCTGGCGGGAAAGCCGACCTGACGACGGTGGCCGATGGTACTTACAATTACTTGTTAATGTTAATCTCGACGTGAATCCTTATTTGTTCCATCCAGTCCAATCTACCTTACTATGATATGACCTTTTAATATTTCAGTTTTAAGATTCAAGGAAGAATGGGGTTCTATTATGAATAAAATTAAAATATGAACAGCGAAAAGGAATCCTAGACCATATTTATATGTTAAAGGATATATGTTGCCATCCTACATAGCGCTTGTGTCAAGTCCCATAAAAGGGGCAATTTAGTTTCGCAAATAATCCGTGGAGTTTCTGTGGACTTTTTGCGAAATAAAGTAAAATTATTTTGTGTGTGGATCTTGCTAATTTACTATAATACAACAAAGTAAACACATGGTGTATGCACACGATATAACATTCTGTTTTTATATCTAACAAATTGATCCACTACAAAATGTTGAAAATCTCTCAGTACAAAAGACAAAAGAGCGGTGAATCGTTTAGGAATGGCTCACTGGAAATAGCAAATCATTTGTTTATGTACGGCATTATGGGAAATATCGCTGGGTTCGTCTCGTTTTATCGTTTTATCGCCATCTCGCGGCCGTTATTGAAGTCAATAAAGCGGTGTCCCCTCTCGGCCACCATAGATGTCTCCTCTCGGCCACCATAAGAAAAGGTGAAACCAGACAATTTCAGGTCACGGGTAGGGACGAATGGTGACGAATTAAGGGGCAAAGAAGGCTTGTTCCGGAATTATACCAGTGTTCACGAATGTACATCGACAAGGCTAATGCTCACGGGTTAGAAGCAGTCTTCAGCAACCTATGCTTTAAGTAAGCGGCGACTAACGGGATCGAGTGGTCAGGCTCGCTGACTTAGTTCATGCATGTCATCGTATCCCAATTGCGTGGATCGATGCTCATGATGTCAATTACTGGATTGTCTGGTCCAGACTCCATTATTTACAGACCGCCGTCATGTAGCTGGAATAATGCTAAGTGCAGCGTGAAACAACAAACTAGGAAATAATACACAGCACCACACAAATGAAGAGTATTTCCCAAATGTGTTTATGCTATGAAATGAATGTGTAACGACCGGTCAAAGGGACATACGTATAATTTAGCCGCCGCATTTGCACGTGGTAAGAATATCCAAGTTACTTTGAACATACACAACAGATGTGAGTAAATACGGTCTTCTAGCGTGTGAAATAATCATAAATGCCGCTGAATCTAGTATGATCGGGTTTATATTTATCATATAAATCCTAAATTTACGGTCATAGGTAAATAGAAGATCACTGGATTTTCTGGTCCAGACTCGATTATTCAAAGACCGCCGTCACAGCTGTAATAGCTGTAATATTGCTGAGTGTGGCGTTAAACAAAAAACAAACAAACAAACAAACACGCTATTTATTATTGTTCCAGGAAACCAAGGCTGTGGAGGCGGACTGATGAACTTGGCCTTTGAGTACATACAGATCAACGTAGGCATCGACACTGAAACGTCCTACCCTTACGTAGGAAGGGTGAGATTACTGATGACTCCTGTTGTACCGAATAATATTGTTGTATCGAATAATACTGTTGTATCGAAAAATACCATCACGTAGATTATTTTAATCTCAATGTATGATCCTGGTTATGTCTTAATCTATAATGTAATGTAATGTAATGTAATGTAATGTAATGTAATGTAATGTAATGTAATGTAATGTTATGGATGTCTTAATCTATAATGTAATGTAATGTAATGTAATGTAATGTAATGTAATATATGTCTATATTATATTTTAATTTCGAATCTATGATTGCTAGGGTACAGAAGTTTACTAAATTAATCCGTGTCTCACTGCCGATATAGACATATGGTTCCGGCCTGTCACATGAACCGGCCCCTTATATGGGTTGGATCTAACGGTGAAATCCGAGTAACATCCGCTTGTGTTCTTTATTGAAGTAATACGGTTTATAATTTATTTAGTAAGGAAATGAACATATGACATCGATGACATTGACTCGAGTGAAATAAAACTTTTAGCGGAACTACTTTTATCCTGTTTCAATTACACTAAATACGCTTTCAGAAAATGATCAATAAGAAAATACGCCATAAATATAACTTTTGTCATTTTATCTTCTCGAAAAATAGTGTGTGTCTGATCTTGTGACCTGAAGCTGTCATTTCCTGAAACAATGAAGTTATTTGACAAGAAAATACAAATATCATCTGTGATTCATAATGTCCCGTCACCTGAAGTGAGTGAATGATCGATTGAGAACTGTTTGACGACGCTAATCGCAATATTCAAGCTACATCAATCTAAAACAAACGCCCCCACCCCACCCACCCACCCACCCACACACGCACGCACACACACACACACACACACACACACACACACACACACACACGCACACACACACACGCGCACACACACACACACACACACACACACACACACACACACACACACACACACACACACACACACACACACACACACACACACACACACACACCTTAAATAGCCTGGTGTAAAAGTACACTAACGGTAATTAAGCCAAGAGGAAATCTTGTTATCAGTTATGCGTATTCAATATTCATTGTTTTTCCATATCTGATTTTACATAAATGTTTATTTTGGTGCAATCCGTGTGACCTCCATGCTTTATCTCACGTTCCAGGTCGACAGGTGCAGATTCAAGAGAGCCGACATTGGTGCTACCGATATTGGTTTCATGGACATCCAAAGAGGCAGCGAGTCTGATCTTCAGAATGCCGTTGCCACGGTCGGGCCAATCTCTGTCGCCATCGACGCCAGTCGCCCCACCTTCCATCTGTACAAGAGCGGCGTCTACGACGACACGTCGTGCAGCACCCTGCAGCTCGACCACGGCGTTTTGGCTGTTGGATACGGCAGCACCAGCGAGGGCGTGGACTACTGGCTTGTCAAGAACAGGTGATCAATTTTGATCAGTACGGCAGTGCTAATGTTTGTATGCACCAGGCAATCTATTTGGAAAATAATGTGTTGTTCAAGAAAATAAAGGAAAATAGCATTCTGGCTCAGCCTTCAAAAATCAAATGGTGCTTGCCGGACGTTTTTTGAAGTTCTGAAAAGAAATGTGCTGTGAAAAAGAATTGTCCGTCTCCCCCTTTCTGAGGAAACCTTGTTAAATCCGAAAAAATATCTTGTTGCTAAGTAACAAAAGAGAAGAAACCCTTGAACAAATGGCCCGTCCCTTATTACATATTATAAATGAATTGTGAATAGAGCGAATAATCTGGAACGCGACGTTAAACGCCATGCATTTCGCCTCGCCTCGCCTCATCTCACCTCACATTGTATGAAGGCTTGCAGAGGGCTTTTGAGTAGTCCGGCCGTCGTCAAATGATTTGGCCTTACAGGAATTAATAGTTACAAATGAAGACGTAAAGCAAGGTTACAGTGTATCTTCAAGAATAGAATGAGAGTCTTATAAGCATTTGGAAGCCGCATATAATGACGACCAGGAATATGATGGACACCCACTTATCTTTTATACATACACGACGTTACAGGACTACCTTTTGCCCCTTCATCGGGTAATGTTAGATATCAACTGTTTTAACAACTAATTTAACAAAAGGAGTAGTAGTATTGAATTTGCCCGCAGCATTTAGTTACGTTGTCGTCTTCATCTGTTTCATGGTTGTCTGCATTTGTTTTAAACGATGACTTCATCCGTTACCACCGCCGTCTTTGTCTGTTTAAATCATTCCCTTCATCTGTTTACATCGCTGTCTTCATCTGTTTACATCGCTGACTTCATCTGTTTACTTCACTGTCTTCATCTGTTTACATCGATGTCTTCATCTGTTTACATCGATGTCTTCATCTGTTTACATCGTTGTCTTCATCTGTTTACATCGTTGTCTTCATCTGTTTACTTCACTGTCTTCATCCGTTTACATCGTTGTCTTCATCTGTTTACTTCACTGTCTTCATCTGTTTACTTCACTGTCTTCATCTGTTTACTTCACTGTCTTCATCTTTTTACATCGATGTCTTCATCTGTTTACATCGTTGTCTTCATCTGTTTACATCGATGTCTTCATCTGTTTACATCGCTGACTTCATCTGTTTACTTCACTGTCTTCATCTTTTCACATCGCTGTCTTCATCTTTTCACATCGCTGTCTTCATCTGTTTACTTCACTGTCTTCATCTGTTTACTTCACTGTCTTCATCTGTTTACTTCACTGTCTTCATCTGTTTACTTCACTGTCTTCATCCGTTTACATCCATGTCTTCATCTGTTTACATCGATGTCTTCATCTGTTTACATCGATGTCTTCATCTGTCGTTGTCTTCATCTGTTTACATCGATGTCTTCATCTGTTTAAATCGTTGTCTTCATCTGTTTACATTGCTGTCTTCATCTGTTTACATTGCTGTTTTTATCTGTTTACATCGCTGTCTTTATCTGTTTACATCGTTGTCTTAATGTGTTTACATCGCTTTCTTCATCTGTTTTATCAGCTGGGGAGCATCCTGGGGAGACCAGGGATATCTCAAGATGTCCAGGAACAAGGACAACCAGTGTGGTATCGCCACCCAGGCCAGCTACCCCCGTGTGTAATGGACCCGTCCACGACATGACACACTTTACCGACAAAGCGACAATGTTTTCCACTCTCATTAAAATCAGATGTATTACTCCTATACGACACCTTTCTGCGTGAGGATCTCACAAACCCCCCGTAGAACGCCGTGTCAGATGAACCCAATCTAAATGACAGTTGTCAGCTTTCTAAAACTACATGATGTTTACCCTATCGATAACAATACAGCAACACGGGTTTTAGTATGTTCCAATCAGAAATTATCGTGGATGTTAATTTCCGAGATACAAAAATCAGATATGCTGTTCTGAATGCTTCGCTCACTTGAACCTAGAAATAAGAAAACTCGTCGCTGATTGGCTGATTAGAATGTTCATGTGACACGACCTCCAATGGAGAGTTTGTTAGTCTTCTTGCAGGGCGACATGGTATCCGAGTAATACATCTGAATGTAATGAAGTTGTATTTTTTATAAAATTCGAGGTATATACTATATCAAATATAAGCCTCGTTGAACTTTTTCAATCATTCATTTTGTAAAAAGAATATAATCAATAAAATATCAAAGAAAGAAAGTGTTTCTAAGTCTAATCTATCTGACATCACTACCAGTGAATGAACAATTTCAGCGTCCAATCGTCAAACCTACAAGTGAGTAAAATGGGTTTTACGCTTGGACAGTATTTCACTGAAATACTAAATGATGGCCTGCCAACTTAATGTGGAAGGAAAGCCCAAAGATTTTAAGATGTCGGTCTTAGAAGTTTCAATTACTCCTTGAAACCAACGAAAACGGGAATGGTGTTGGGATTCGAACTCATTACCAGCAGGCCAAAGGGGCAGGCCAAGGGGCACGCCAAGGGACGCAACTCTGTACAGTTTCGGTACATGTTCCTGAATAGGGGCTGTATTTAGTAGCGTCTTGAACAAAGTGAATGAGTTCGTCAAGCTCAAACAAAATAACCCCATCCAACAGGGTATTCATTTAACGGTTGGGTAACTTAGTGATTTAAGACATTGGTAAATGTGTAAATTGCTGGAATATTGTCAAAACAATACTCATTAACTCACTCGCATGTCCTTGAACAGTTGGTAATCCCTACTAAACATTATTATTTAATCATTAACTTTCACGTTTCCCATACCCCGTAAAGATCCGGGTTAGAATTGGGCCTGCTTGCACGCACGCGAACTCAGCGCAGAGACCATTGTTATCCGTACTTTCACGTGATGAGGCGAGCTGGAATAGGTTTTAACATTGCTTTCAAAATCATAATGTATATAATAAAAACGTGCGTGTGCATGTGTGCGTGTACGTGTGTGTTTGTACCAGTCCGGAGTAACGCCCGTTTTGTAGTGCCTGCCCCCTGACATACCATGCCTCAGTTTAACATGGATTCCCCGCACACACAGTATTCTGACTCCGAGCCGATCAATCCTTGTTTTAGCCTAAAATGCCGAGCTCCAGACGTGAAACATTAGGTTCCATCTTTTAACACTTTGTATGACGCCGTCAGGGAATCGAACAACCGACCTTACGCTCTCTGGCAGACGCTCTATCCAATAGACCACGGAGGCGGTCACTTTAACGTAAAGTTACAACAGTCTTAATTCTGTGTTATAAGCTTATTTCTGAAATCTGTAGAAAAAGTGAAAAAATGGCCGCCAAAATCGTATTTAGCTGGGCATCTGAAATGTCCATCACATGAAATTATACAGTTGAGACATCAAGCTAGCTGAAAATCATATTGGTAATTTGTCCCTCTGTTTGGTAGTGAAATTTTCTCTGGCTCATGGACTATTAGCGCTAACATTGCCTTGTACAAGTAGGCCATGTCTTCAGATGAACATTATATTTTAGCTTGACTGTGTATAATGTGATGGCCGCGAGGAGCGTCTGATTTGATTACAACCAAAAACGTTTCCAGTGTCTCAGCATTGGATACGGTTTTAACTATTCCATACGTTCTGAGTGAATGAGTTTGATTTTACGCCGCTTTTAGCAATATTCCAGCAATATCACGGCAGGGAACACCACAAATGGGCTTCACACATTGTACTCATGTCGGAAATCGAACCCGGGTCTTCGGCGTGACGGGCGAACGCTTTAACCACTAGGCTACCCGACAGCCCCCTGCCTAAAAGGAAATAAACACAATCAAAATGTAATTATGTAGAATTGATGACCAAAATATGAAATATACATGAATGTTATATCAGAGCACATCGTTTAATCGCCATCCTCTTATTTCATATGAATATTACTTCTGATGTTCATGTGTCGATTTTGTCATTTCTGTTTCGAATTTATGAAGATCCATTACAATATGCCGGTCCAACATGTTTTATAAATTGACTACATTCCGCAAAGGTTTAATAATCGACTCTCTAGAGATGAACTTACTGACATGTCGTAAATTGGAAGCTATTGGTGTTGCTGTTGTCCTATTGTAATCAACGCAGAACACACATAATCAAGTAAACATATTGGCAAAATTGACATGTTAGTCATAAATACAGAAGCAAATTTGGTCCTAAACACGTTCAGATTATAAACATGTTTACATTCTTAAACGTCAGGCGTTGAGAATTTCGGTGAGATAAATTCGTTGTCAACCGGTCTCGAGGGGTATATGCCGTGAGATACCCCGAACATAGGCTCACACACAGGGTACATCTCACCATATGCCCCGAGGGATCGGTTGACAAAGATTTTATCTCACCGAAATTCTCATTAATAGATACACTGAATATATGTCCGAATTTTCAATGAGTAAAACGTTTTTGGTTCAGTAAAAGGCGACTATGCTTGTCGTAAGAGGCGACTAACGGGATCGGGTGGTCAGGCTCGCTGACTTGGTTGATGCATGTCATCGATCCCAATTGTGTGGATGGATGCTCATGATATCAATCACTGGATTGTATGGTCCAGACACTATTATTTACAGGCCGCCGTCATAGACCTGGAATATTGCTGAGTGCGGCGTCAAACAACAAACCAACCAACCAAAGCTTTGATTCAGCCATTTTGACAGCTAGCAGACGATACAAACGAACAGAGTTACTTCCCTTCGCCCAACGATTCGGATAAACATCGGTTCATTTCACCTCAACGATACTTATGCGAGATGAGCAAGTTATCTACGGTGTGTTACGATTTATTTCTCAGCGGGGTAAATGAGCGGGCAACATGGAAAATAATTGAGTTAATAATAATCAGAAGCTAGTATTTTAATGTCTCGTGATATGAGAGTCATTGTATTCATGTATACAAGTTTTATTTGTTCATATAACATATAACTGTGTATTAATTTGTTTATATAAAATAGGTTTAGTGGTAGAGCGTCCGCCCGAAGAGCGGAAGATCGGGAGTTCGTTCCCCGGCCGCGTCATACCAAAAGACGTTAAAAATGGTACTTGTTGTTACCCTGCCTTGCGCTCGGTATTAAATGGCCAAAACCAAGACTGGTCGGCTGCGCCCGTCATGGTTTATTCTCTTTCCAGTGTTTATATTGTACGATAAACAACTCCCACTTGTCATTTCTTTCTTAAATAGAACACATATGTAACTTGATGTAAAACGTGAAATTTTATTAAAATATTTAACTTACTTGAACGATACAATATTTTAACAAAGTATTTAATTTACAAACAAATAACATTGTATACATCAATGTATTGCCATGTACACTCATACTACAGGGGGCACGGGTTGCCCAGTCGTCTAAGGCGCCGCAATTCGCTGTGCAGAGTTGCGTCCCTTGGGCACGCCAGAAACCTATGATTGTGGGTTCGAATCCCGGTTCGCCCCGATTATGTTTCTAGGTTTGTCAGCACCATACCCGTGCTCGTGGGTTTCACCGAAGTGGTAAACGTCTGAGACCTGCATCACTTCGGACTTTCCTCCCACATTAAGCTGACACGCCGTGATGTAACTCGAATGCTGTTAAAAGCGGCGTTAAATCCAACTCACTCACTCACTTATACAACAATGTATGCGCTCATTGATCATTCCCCAAAATAGCATTTACACGATAAGGACAAACTCGCTCCATTACAAATATTCAGAAATTTGAGAAAAAATACGGAGAGATAAAGGTGTACCAGATGACCTTATTTTCCTACTTCTGAGGTAAGGCTTAGGCCACGTTTTCCTCCCAGGTGCTGTATTTAAAAGTAGGACTTATTTTGTAAACATAACTCACATCGGACAGTCTTGGATTACAGAAACCATCTAAGGTGAGGCTCTTACCATTCTAACCTAATAATACCACAAGGTAAATAACTTCCCACGTGGTACTACGTAAACAGGTGGTGATGAAAAAATCATAAATGTATTATGAAGTACATACATATTTCATATATATATTAGATATAATATTCTAGGTCATATAGAACAGTCTGTTTCTGATATACCAGAAAAGAAAATTGAAGGTAAAATAGCGATGCTTTATGGGGTTGTAATACAAACTGGATCATATATGGTCTATCATGTATAAAAACAGTCAGATGAGTGGTCTAACCAACCTAACTGTCCAATCTTTGTGTCAAGAGTCGCTTCTGGTTGATCTACACCCATGACATCCGTCATGTTATTATTCTCATGACGACTAACACCAGAGATAGCCATCCAGGGTCGTGACTTTTTCTTAAATTTGCTTGAAATTCTGACATTTTGTTGCTTCGTCTGTCACATGGCAGTGTAATGTGTTATTAAACAATGATTGAAACGATATTACATTGTTTCTGTTGTGATTCAGTAGAAGTTCATTGCATTCTATTTGGACAATGATTAGTTGTCAGGAATGTAGCATGGGTGGATGTCCTATTCCACAACCTATATATATTACTCATACTTATAATGCATCAGTTGTTCACGTGTAGATTTTGTCTTTTCTGTTTCGAATTTTTGGTGACCCAATACAAGATGCCGGTCCAACATGTGTCAAGCGTTTTAAAATCATGTAGAATATTCTATGATGTTTTTACTGACACTGTGACCATCCAGTTATATCATGTTAGTGGTATGGCCCTGTACGTTTCCCATCCGACAAATTTAACTTACCTGATTTCTCAATGTTTTATATAGTAACTAAATTGAGCAAAAACTCCGATGCTATTTTCATTCATATACTGTTAGGAGTTGTCAGTCCGGTGTGTCTACAGGTACTTACCCATGTTATCCCTCTCATGTATGCAATTGTCGTTATTGTTTATCCTCCACCTACAATATATATTCTGTACAATGTCCCTCATTCAGTCTTGCTTGACAACGGTATAAGGATCTATACCGAAACGTCGCTTTTTACATTATTAAAAAAGTTGTTATCCATAAATTGTGTCTACTTTGAAAACACAAGAATGCTTGACAAAAGAGACCATTTAACTCGGTAATAGAACATTTTCAGAATTAAGCTTTTTGTTTTCTTTTTTTATTTTGGGGGGCGGGGAAGAGGAGTAGAGGGATAAGGAATTAAGTCAGGGTCAGTGTCTTCTGAAGTTAAAAAAAAAGATTAGAAAAGATTTCTTTTGATTTTGGATTCAGAAGAGAAATACCGTTTATTCTTTTGGGGATCAATCACGTATTCTTATTTTGATATCATCCAATCAACGGACATTTAGACATTAGCTGCTTGATTCTCTGCATAGTGTATCATTTGAGTACAGCAGCAAGCAAGAGTCAAGGGGTGTAGAGATTATTAACTGTTGATGTTGTTCTACTGTAACCAGGCAGGGCAAGATATGTCAGTTAAATGGGTTGGCAAAACTGACAAACAAGAATATATACACATGCACAAAAGTTAAGCGCCACCATATTTATAGTCTCTTGATTTCACGTGTGGGAATCAGAAATACGAAATATGATGATGTATGACTGAATTAGGCTTCCATAGTTTCATGAACCCAAATTTGTCCAGATACCACAAGGAAAGCGTGCTTTACGTGTTGCTGCAGTTCCCCTACCCTATAAATAGTGAAATTCAAGTTTCAGACACGTGGTTGCATTTTGCTCCTGTGTGAGATTCCCCTTCCAATAGAGGTTGAAAATCAGCCATGGTGAGGAGAAAGTCAACGAACGCTGAAAGATGGCAAGTGATAGGCATGAAAAATGCTGGCATGTCATGCAGGGCCATTGCAAGACAAATGGGTCGTCATCACAGTGTTATCACTCGTTTGATTGCCAAACATGGTCAAACCAATGATGTCAATGACAGGCATAGGTCTGGTAGGCCAAGAAAGACCTCTAACAGAGGATAGACGTCTTTTCAGGATAGTCAGACGAAATCCATTTGCCACTTCAACAGATTTAAGACTGCAGTGGATTACCCATCAGAGACGATGACCGTAAGGCGTCGCCTCAGAGCGGCTGGTTATTACGCCAGAAGACCAGTAAAACGTCCTCAACTGACTGAGAGGCACATGCGGAATCGTCTGATATGGTGTCGTGCCCGTAGTCGATGGAACTTGGCCAACTGGAGAAGGATCCATTGGTCTGACGAGTGTCGAATGCTGCTACGAACTGTTGATGGTCGAAAACGTGTTTGGGGGCAACGTAACACTCGTTTTGCACCAAGGCACATCCAGAAAACTTTAGCATGTGGCGGGGGGTCTGTCATGATATGGGGTTGTGTTTCCTTCGGCTGCAAACTTCCGCTGGTGACAATTCGTGGAAACCTGAATGGCCAACAATACCAAGAAGCCGTTCTTCGTCCAGTGGTAGTCCCTCATTTTGACAACCATCCTCTTCAGACAAGACCTGTTTACATGGACGACAATGCTAGACCACACAGATCTCGGGCAGTTTTGGCTTATTTGCGTCAAGAAGCTATTGCCACTCTTCCTTGGCCGGCCTGTAGTCCAGGTCTTAATCCGATTGAGCATCACTGGGACATTCTTGGCCGGAAAATCAGACATCGTGATCCCCAAGTTCAAAATCTCGCTGGACTTGAAGCCGCACTTCATGAAGAATGGATACGTTTGCCCCAATGACGTGTAATGAGTATGAGGCGTAGGGTTGAAGCTGTGGTCAATGTCCGTGGATCATACACACGTTACTGACGTTTCTGTCTTGCAATAGACTCTGCACTTCCTAGGGTGTCTATGTGACACCTGATATGGTCTGCTGATATCATGACAGTTACATGACAAAAAAATGTTTTTCAATGTTTTCTAATCTTTCAATTTCTGGTCTTCGGTAAAATTCCTTTCTTCTCATATTCGTTTGGAACACAAGATAAACTAGCTTTGGGACAACTTTTGCATCACATCCATAATAGTCATCATTAAGTAACAAAAGTAACAGCTCACAAATATTGTGGGTGGCGCTTAACTTTTGTGCATGTGTATAGATACACATTTGGTTCGACACACGTTTACATTTTGAAAATGTTTAGAATCTAAAACGTTTGAATTATAAACTGTTCTAAACAGGTTTCGGATGCAAACATGTTTAGGGTTCAAGACGCGGTAAACTATTGGACATGGATTAAACGTCTGTTACAGTATAGCTTCATATTAGACGTATTCTGTGGTGGAGGGAGTGTCCACGACTGTTGAAAGGACAGGGGTCATAGATGATGACTAATTACTAGGTAAGATAATTATAAGGCTCGGGTACAATGAAACAGTTTGAATTCATGGTCGTGTATTGGCAATCTCATGTTCGGCTATTTCCGTCAAGTCTGGAAGAAAAGACTGTGCCAGCACCCTCTGGTGGCAGATTGCTGTATTAGCACCGTCGCCTACAGAAAATCCCAAGCCCTCTTTTGTCACATATACTTGGAATATTTGTAGTAATAAGTCTGCATTTTGTAACCTACATTCTTATTGTACATATACATTTTTTTTTAAATACTGTTACTAGTGGATCCACTAAACAGTTTTCATACATAACAAGGAGAGATCACACAACAATTTAAAAGCAATTTAATACTGGCAGTCTAATCAAGCATCATGTTATTCACAAACAGCAATAGCAAGTATCAGTCCCACTAATAACAGTCTTACTTATGCAGGAACTAACTCATAACCTTTTAATATTACACTCTTAACCACCTTGTAATCAAAGCTCTGCCCAATGGATAAAGCTGCATAATCGTCCTGTGCTTTGCCTATTAGAACACTCTGAAAAAGTGGAGTCCATGCTTCTAACGGCCATTTTAAATTAGTAGCTAACTTTTCAAAGTGCAAAAAGGACTTGTCTACCTCGTTTTCCTGAAAGGGGGTATAAGTTTTACAAATTTTGCCTCATCAAATCCCTTCTCCTTCTCACCAGTTAGACTCTGCTGCTTTATCTTAAGTTCTAGCTCTAATTTCGGAATATCTAATTGCCTAGATCTCAGTATGCTCGTCAATACATTCTGCTCAATATATTCATCTCAATACGCCCAGTTCGGTACATTCTGGTCAATACATGCTGGTCAATACATTCAGTTAAATACATTCTGGTCACTACATTCAGCTCAATACATTCTGGTCAATACATTCAGCTCAATACATTCAGCTCAATACATTCAGTTCATTACATTCTGGTCAATACATTTTGGTCAATACATTCTGGTCAATACATTCTGGTTAATACACCCAGTTCAGTACATTCTGGTCAATACATTCTGGTCAATACATTCAGCTCAATACATTCTGGTCAATACATTCTGGTCAATACATTCTGGTCAATACATCCTGGTTAATACACCCAGTTCAGTACATTCTGGTCAATACATTCTGGTCAATACATTCTAGTCAATACATTCAGTTAAATACATTCTGGTCAATACATTCAGCTCAATACATTCTGGTCAATACATCCTGGTTAATACATTCTGGTCAATACATCCTGGTTAATACACAAAGTTCAGTACATTCTGGTCAATACATTCAGCTCAATACATTCTGGCCAATACATTCAGCTCAATACATTCTGGTCAATACATCCTGGTTAATTCACCCAGTTCAGTACATTCTGGTCAATACATTCAGCTCAATACATTCTGGTCAATACATTCAGCTCAATACATTCTGGTCAATACATCCTGGTTAATACACCCAGTTCAGTACATTCTGGTCAATACATTCAGCTCAATACATTCAGCTCAATACATTCAGTTCATTACATTCTGGTCAATACATTCTGGTCAATACATTCTGGTCAATACATTCTGGTCAATACATTCAGCTCAATAACTTCTGGTCAATACATCAAGGCCAATAACTTCTGGTCAGTATGTCTAGATCATTACATTCTGGTCAGTACATCCCGGGCAAAATATTAAGGTCAATACATTCTGGTCCTTACATCAAGGCCAATGCATTCTGGTCAGTACATCCCGGGCAAAATATTAAGGTCAATACATTCTGGTCCTTACATCAAGGTCAATAAATTCTGGTCAGTACGTCCCGGGCAAAATATTAAGGTCAATACATTCTGGTCAGTACATCACGTGCAAAATATTTAGGTCAGTACACTCTGGTCAGTACATCCCGGGCAAAATATCAAGGCCAATACACTCTGGTCAGTACATCTCGGGCAAAATATTAAGGTCAATACGTTCTGGTCAGTACATCTCGGGCAAAATATTAAGGTCAATACATTCTGGTCAGTACATCCCGGGCAAAATATTAAGGTCAATACATTCTGGTCAGTACATCTCGGGCAAAATATTCAGGTCAATACGTTCTGGTCAGTACATCTCGGGCAAAATATTAAGGTCAATACCTTCTGGTCAGTACATCTCGGGCAAAATATTAAGGTCAATACCTTCTGGTCAGTACATCTCGGGCAAAATATTAAGGTCAATACGTTCTGGTCAGTACATCCCGGACAAAATATTAAGGTCAATACATTCTGGTCAGTACATCTCGGGCAAAATATTAAGGTCAATACATTCTGGTCAGTACATCTCGGGCAAAATATTAAGGTCAATACGTTCTGGTCAGTACATCTCGGGCAAAATATTAAGGTCAATACATTCTAGTCAGTACATCCCGGACAAAATATTAAGGTCAATACATTCTGGTCCTTACATCAAGGTCAATAAATTCTGGTCAGTACATCTCAGGCAAAATATTAAGGTCAATACATTCTGGTCAGTACATCCAGGTCAATACATCTAGCTCAATCCATTCTGCTTAATACATCCAGGTCACTGGATCCTGTTCAATACAGATATGTCAACAACCAAGGTCTCGGTGATCTTGCTGATTACGTGTCACGGTGTTCCGATGGCGATTGCATGGTCAAGGCTCGAGCGCAGTGTACAGCTGAAAAGAAGTGCAGAAAGTCAATGGTCCATATTTCATCATCCCTTATCGCGAGTCATATGACTGCATTTTACTTATTGACTTCAATTCAAGTGGCATCAAATGACGCTCACACAAACCACATGTTTAAGACCATGTGAGCTATGGTGTAGATAACACCGTGTATATAACGGTTCTTGCCCCCACACCCGTCACTCCAGCCACCGTCCTCGCCCACCAAGGTAAGAGGTGATACGGGAGACATGGGAAGTGATACCTCCACGATCACGTGATGTGTAGTCTCCTACCATGTCAGATTGTCCAACTGAATGGTGTTTGTCTGAGGATGTCAGTAACATAATAATCATAGAAAACGTGTTTTAACTGTGACCATGTTCCTTATTATTTTGCGAGTGAGTGAATTGGGTTTTACGCCACATTTAGCACTATTCCGGCACTATCAAGGCCGGTGACACCAGAAAAAGGCTTCAAACCTTGTACCCTTGTCGGGAATCAACCTGTGTCTAGGCGTGCCAAGCGAACGCTTTAACCAGAGGGCTACCCCATTGTACTTTTGACATTTATTTTTAAAATTAAAATTTAACAATTTCAAATTTCAAATTCAAAATCTGTTCAGCAAACTGTTGCTTTGTTGAAGTGATTTTCATACTTAATATGTTCTTTATCGGCAAGAAGATGTCCTTGCCATTTTTTGTCCAGTGATATTATTACTTTTACCTTGGTTTTGAGTAAATCATATAGATACCATGTGCTGACTGCATTTAAAATGCATTTGCGATGTCACACCGTACCGGAAGGCAGTTCAGACTGAGTGAGTGAGTTTGATTTTACGCCGCATATAGCAATATTCCGGGGGACACCGTAAATGGGCTTTACACATTTACACATTGTACCCATGTCGGGAATCGAACCCGGGTCTTCGGCGTGACGAGCGAACACTTTAACCACAAGGCTACCCGACCGCCCCTTCGTGTTCTGAGGAAAACATTTTAATTAATCAACATGTTTTACCATTGTAGATGTTCCGCTTTGCCGTGGTTGCCCTGCTTGCTGCTGTTGCCGTCGCAGTAGATTTGAACAGAGAGTGGGCCATATTTAAGACCTCTTATAACAAGAATTACCTGACAGAGGAAAATGAAGTCCTCAGGTGAGAGAATACCTTCATTTTTGTGAGGACCCTAAACCACACCTAAAACAGCCAGTCTGTGACGAGTACGAGTAAACAAAAGTTTCCACGTTACCTTTCGCATTTTCCGAAAAGTCAAGACCGACGGAATTCAGTGCTGAGTGAGTGAGATGGGTTTAACCCTGCTTTAAACAGTAGTTCAGTAATATTACAGCGCATCAGCTTGGTTTGGCTTGAGGTGAGGTGAGGTGAAATTGGGTTTAACGTCGCGTCCATGATTATTGCACTTATATAGCTACGTGCATGTACGTGTGTGCGTGGCTACTTGAACTAGTCCGGACTGATACCGATTTTTAGTGCTAGCTCACTGAGATACCATGCCGCAGTTTAACATGAATACCCCACTCAGACACAGTACACTGACTCCGAGCCGACCAGTCCTTGTTTTAGCCCCTTAATGCCGAGCGCCAGACAGGGTAACAAAAAGTACCATCTGTTAACATCTTTTTGAATGACACGGCCGGGGATCGAACCCCGGAACTTCCGCTCTCCGGGCGGACGCTCTACCACAAGACCACGGAGGCGGCTGGTGTGGCTTGAACACCCGAAGAAAATCAAAGCATTTACCACGGGTATGGGTGTGGTGCCGACAAACCTAGAAACATAATCAGGACGAACCGAGTGCAGAATGACACAACATACCTTGTTATCTGTCTCTATCCCTCTGTGTCGACTACGTGATAAACTTATGAAAGTTCAAAGCTGACACAGTATAAAGTACAAGGAAGCAGATAGCCGACGGTTCATAAACTGACACTGCACTATTGGTTGTCTAGAAACAAGCACTTGTTATATTTGGCGTTTATCTTTAAAGTGCGGGCTAGTTCACATGACACAATATTGTAATCTAAAACTGCGTCACAGATATTCATTCTGAGACAGTGCAGCCTCGTCAATCACGAAGAGTTATATTTTGGCTGGATGAACGAGTCCATAGTATAGTACAATCAACATCCCCTAAAGAAATCAACATCCGGTTCGTACACTGCGGTGCAGATGTCTGTCCATTCAATGATTTGCAAAGCATGTGTACCGTCAACTTGGTTGTCAACAGATATTTTCCAAATCTTTTCATGTTTTTAATCAAGGTGCTCACGTAAGTTGATGCGCTTCGCGAAGTAAGACCCGTTTTATTACAACATAGATCTTGATCGATCAGATCGTCTTCACTGGGCTTCGTTTGAAGTAAATGCAAGTGATATGAGATGTGGAATCTGATTGGTCAATAGTTGGGACATAGAAGGGACATAACTCGTAATAGCCATCGGAGGCGCTACGATCGAGCCCAGACACTCCAGCCGAGTTCAGCAAGGGTGGAAACTTTACTTTAACAGTCAGTTAAGTCCTTTCCTCGGGAAGATGGACATTTCCACTGTAATCCCATGTCACTTGGTATACATGAAAGTGTTACCAGCAGTAATTACCCGGAAGGTCAGGTTTCCGGATTAACGGGGTCCGGATTGACGAGGTTTCACTGTATTCAGGTTGATGCCTTCCCCTGTCGATTAGCTATCAAACAACGCCCTGTAAATAGTATCATAAATTTTAAAAAATAGAGATGTCATAAAGCATCATAGATAACATATTTTAAAAATGGTCATATATTTTATCAACTTCGTGACCGTAACACCTCTAAAAAACGCTTCAGATCAGTGTAGGTCCGAATGTTATTGCAGTCATCAGAAGCAAAGTTTAGGGCTTGGTTCTACCACACTTAATCAGAACCATTGTGCTGTCAGCAGCTTTGATTGGATGATAGTGTGAGAGTTGGATGTGCTTTAAATGTACATCCATAAAGTTATCAAATCCGATAATATATAATATTGACCTTTTTGTGTTTAAATAAACAGTGATACTAAATGTGTCGACCTAATTTCAAGTAGGTGCCATTTTGGTACAGAATCGTGGTGATATGGTGTGTTTGGCAACCTTATTTAATTTAAGACCCGATCCGGGGTAGAATAGGTCTTCGGCAACCCATGCTTGCCTTAAATGACGACTGCACAACGTTCTTATTTCTTCACACGACGTTACAAAATTCTACGAAATAATAGATCTTTATATTGTCTTTCGGTAAGTATAAAAGTTGTTGCGGAAATGAGTTTGTTTTCATTCTGATGCCATCGTTGAAAGTGTGAGTAGGCTTAATTTTCGTGTTTTTCCTACTTCGTCCCCATGACCTCAAAAACGCCGTTACTGTGCCTTTGTCATCATCATCATCTTCATCATCATTTATTATATTCTGGCCATAGGCCCATATACATACAATAACATTATACATATACAATTTTGTACATGTACAAGTATAAACATGCAGACTTATATGCATACTTATTTGTCATAAATATATGTTATCTGAAATGAATAACATTTGACGGGAAATACCTTTATGGTTCTAACCATATGACATTTGTTTAGATGTGTTCTAATACAAAGTCATGCGCACGAATTTATTGTAGTCAGTAGGTGTGATATAATTAATGTACCGCTCATATATTCCAAAGAATCTGGAGCCGATGTACCACATGTGAAACCGATCTGGGCACAATATTGTTAAAAATGGCGTCGACTTCAATTTTCATTTCATGACGACATTTTTAAAAACTTGAATTTGCAGTAAAATTTAAACTGATGTGAATATGTATACACACAATCGTAAAGTATGATCAATCGTGTGTGTGTCATATCATAATATTCTATGCTCATTGATAAGTGTACGGAGTCGAAATAAGTGGCCAGACAAGGCAAACTCATGGGAATAAAATGATGCACAGCAATCATGTAAACTTGGATTCGTGATGTTCTTGCGTATGTCACTTATTTTCCAATAGTGGTTCATATCCTTCTTTTCAACGACCATAACTTATACCAAATTGGTGTTCACTATCAAAGCATTCTTTCTATATGTTTGCTTTTCATAATTTCATTCAATGAACGTCGTTAATGTCATGGAAATATATGCTGTCGTTTTGTCATGTGTACCGACCATTCCGCCATTACCGATGGTCGATACAAATTATACAAAACGTGCAAATAAACTTGTTCGTAAAGGAGTAAACAAAAATGTATTTACGTGAATAAGTATACAGTTGTGAAAAACATGTCTTTCTAACCACTCTGGTCATATTATTTCTTATGAGCAAGGATATTAACTGAAAACACTTACGTGTTTGTGACATGGGTGCTTAATCAAAATTCGCTGTCATTAGCTTGGTGTTCAAACATGGCAGAAACGGGAGGGTGGTCAGGCTCGCTGACTTGGTTGAAGCATGTCACCGATCCCAATTGCGTGGATCGATGCTCATGATATCAATCACTGCATTGTCTGGTCCGGACTCGACTATTTAGAGACCGCCGTCATATAGCTGGAATAATCCTGAGTGCGGTGTTATACAACAAACCAACCAACATGTATCACGGATATCAAGGCCGCAGCACGAATGCCCTTGTCGTTAACACGAGTCTGTGTTTTACCATTCCTTGAGTTGTCTCCCTTGTATTTCAGACGCATGGTCTGGGAGAACAATGTGAAGTACATCCAGACTCACAACCTGGAGGCTGATAGAGGGCTGCACACCTACAGACTCGGGGTCAACGAGTACGCAGACCTGGTGGGTTGACATCCAAGGGGAACTGTTCATCCATGTCATATGGTTCAGGGGTGTCTGAGGGGCGGGTGCTACCGGGAAGGCAGGACAGGTTTACCCTTTTTGCGAACACCTGGTGTCATGACTGATTTTCAGTGATCCATCCATAGACGTTTACCACAAAACCCACGGGCATGATGGTGACAAACCTAGAAACACAATCGGGATTCGAGCCCATGAGCAAAGGTTACGCGTACGCCCAAGGGACGCAACTCCGCAGAGCCAATTGCGGCACCTTAGACTACTGGGCCACCCATGTCTAAATGACCCGTGAAGATTCCGGTGTAGAATAGGTCTTCACCAACCCATACTTGCCGTAAAAGGCGACCATGCTTGTCGTAAAAGGCGACTAACGGGATCGGGTGGTCAGGCTCGCTGACTTGGTTGATACATGTCATCGATCCCAATTGCGTGGATCGTTGCTCATGATGTCAATCACTGGATTGTCTGGTCCAGACTTGATTATTTTACAGACCGCCGTCATATAGCTGGATTATTGCTGAGTGCGGCGTTAAACAACAAACAAACAAACACGCCCAAGTGTGATTTGACTTAACGCCGCTTAACATTAGTTACGTTATATGGCAATGGGTTAGAGGAATGGTAGACATTTAGGCTGAAGACGTGTGTTACTTTGGTGAAAGCCACAAGTATGGTCTGGTGCTGACAAACCAAGGATTGTAATGAACTGATAACGGTATGTATTCCCTCCCAGACTACAGAGGAGTTTGTGAAGCAGATGAACGGCCTCCGGATGGCCAACACCACAGGTGGCGCCACCTTCCTGCCCCCCAGTGTCGGAGATCCCCCGGCCGAGGTTGACTGGAGGACCAAGGGATACGTCACAGAGGTCAAGAACCAGGTAGGCCTGCCTTAACATAAATACATACCCCATGTATTACGACTTTGATGAAAACAGCCTACGTGGGCTAGTGGATAGAGTGTCGGCCTGGAGAGCGGAAGGTCGGGGGGTCGATTCTCTGGCCGCGTAATACCAAAACACGTTAATATACTTGTTGTTACGCTGCCTGGCGCTTTCAGGGGATAAAACTGGGTCTGTTCGGCTCGGAATCAGTATAATGTGTTTGAATGATTTATCAGTTAAACTGCAGCATGGTAGCTTAGCATATAAAACGGGCGTAAGTCCGGACTGGTCCAAGAAACCACACACACCAAACACGCACGGACGGACGCACGCACGCACGCACGCACGCACGCACACACGCACGCACACACATAGTTATAGGTGTGGTGCTGACAAACTAAGAATCCTAAGAATCACACAATCATTAGATGATGACACTACGAAGGGACGCAACTCTCGTTATATGTCATTTGTCTTGTCACTTTGTTTGTGGAAAAGCAAAACATATACACAGCTAAATTTATTCCGATGAATTCATATACACCCAGAAAGAAACTCACTGAGGAACTGACAAGATGTTGAAGTGACAGTTGATATAACGAAAGCATTAGCCACAAGGCTATCCCACCGCTTCAAGAATCGTGAAGAAAATAGAAACATAGGACATATTTGGATTTGTCATGGCTTTTACTAGTGACCTTCACCTTCAGCTTGCGTGCGGATCCTGCTGGGCGTTCTCCGCCACCGGCTCCCTGGAAGGACAACACTTCAAGAAGAATGGAAAACTCGTGTCTCTGTCGGAGCAGAACCTGGTCGACTGCTCCAAGCCTGAAGGTACTGCAAGATTGTGAGTGAGTGAGTGAGTGAGTGAGTGAGTGAGGAGTGAGTGAGTGAGTGAGTGAGTGAGTGGCTCCCTGGAAGGACAACACTTCAAGAAGAATGGAAAACTCGTGTCTCTGTCGGAGCAGAACCTGGTCGACTGCTCCAAGCCTGAAGGTACTGCAAGATTGTGAGTGAGTGTGTGAGTGAGTGAGCGAGTGAGTGAGTGAGTGAGCAGTATTTCAGTTATATCACGGTGTGTCAACTTGATATTGGAGGGACTCTGGTACCCTTAGATGTTTGTTTATTGGATTAAAACAAACGAGCAGGGCATGGTGCTGACAAACCAAGAATCATAAAAGGGACGCAACTCTGTAAGCGTCGTGAGGAAGGTTTAATGAAGGATAAAGAACATAATTCCTCCAGTTTTGAGACATTCCCACGCGCAAAGACTTACCTGGTGAAATGTCAGTCTCACTGTGACACGAATAACAAAGCTGGTGATGCGACGGAGTTCGTCAAGGCGACTGCTTTTGCACTCATCTTGATGGAGATAGCGTTCATTTTCAAAGTCTATTGTGATGAATAGAGTTCTTCATTTGAAATGTTGACTGTGTCGCCGGGAAAACCTGCACACCTTCAGTCAGAGCTTCAAAGAATTATTTTTCTGAAAGGTGAAGCCAAACAAGTTCACGTGTGGGGGAAGGGGCGAGTGGAGACAAATAAATGGGCAATGGAGGCTTGTTCCGGAATTACACGAGGGGTAACGAATATTTTACAACCCATGCTTGGGCAATGGAGGCTTGTTCCGGAATTACACGAGGGGTAACGAATATTTTACAACCCATGCTTGGGCAATGGAGGCTTGTTCCGGAATTACACGAGGGGTAACGAATATTTTACATCCCATGCTTGGGCAATGGAGGCTTGTTCCGGAATTACACGAGGGGTAACGAATATTTTACAACCCATGCTTGGGCAATGGAGGCTTGTTCCGGAATTACACGAGGGGTAACGAATATTTTACAACCCATGCTTGGGCAATGGAGGCTTGTTCCAGAATTACACGAGGGGTAACGAATATTTTACAACCCATGCTTGGGCAATGGAGGCTTGTTCCGGAATTACACGAGGGGTAACGAATATTTTACAACCCGTGCTTGCCGTAAGAGGCGACTAACGGGATCGGGTGGTCAGGGTCGCTGGTCCAAATTGCGTAGACCGATGCTCAAGATATCAATCACTGGGTTGTGTGTTCCAGGTTCGATTATTATCATATAGTTGGAATATTTCTGAGTGTGACGTTAAACAACAAACAAACAAACAAACAAGACTGTTGATACATGTTCCAGGAAACCATGGCTGTGGGGGCGGTCGGATGGAATTCGCCTTTGAGTACATAAAGGTCAACGAAGGCATCGACACTGAAACGTCGTACGCTTACAAAGCAAGGGTGAGATTACTGATGACTCCTGGTGTACCGAATAATACTGTTGTACCGAATAATACTGTTGTATCGAATAGTACTGTTGTATCGAATAATACCATCACGAAGATTATTTTAATCTTAATATATTCCGTGATCCTGGTTATGTCTTAATCTATATTATATTATTATTTGGAAGTAATACGGGTCATCATTTATTTAATGAAGTGAGGTGAAATTGGGTTTAACCTAGCGTGCAAGATTATTGCACTTATATAGCAACGTGCATGTACGTATGTGTTTGTGTGGCTGCTTGTACTAGTCCGGACTGATGCCGATTTATAGTGCTAGCTTAACATGAATACCCCACTCAGACACAGTATACTGACTCCGAGCCGACCAGTCCTTGTTTTAGCCCCTGAATGCCGAGCGCCAGACAGGGTAACAAGTACCATCTTTTAACGTCTTTTGGTATGACGCGGCCGGGTATCGAACCCACCCTCCGCTCTCCGGGCGGACGCTCTACCACTAGACCACGGAGGCGGTCCATTTATTTAATGAAGAAACTAACATACATGTATATCATTATTTCGAATCTCTGATTGCTTGGGTACATGAGTTTACTAAATTAAGCCATGTCTCTTCCTCACTTCCGATATAGAAATATGGGGCCGACCTGTCATAAACACATAAACAATATAAGCTTGTGTTCTTAATTGAGGTAATACGGTTTATTGTTTATTTAGTAAGGAAATGAAAAAAAGACATCGATGTCTCACTCGCGTGAAATAACAATTTTTGAGGGATCTACTTCCATCCCGCCTCAATGACATTACATATGGTTTCAGAGAAAGATCAATACAGTAAACTACGGTTATAACGAACACGCTTATAACGAACTAACGGATATAACGAACTAAATTTATAGTTCCGACTATATGGTGTAGTTATGCTGTATATATGCTTATAACGAATTACGGTCATAACGAACTAAAATTAGTAGTCCCTTTGAGTTCGTTATATCCGTCAGTTCGTTATAAGCGTGTTCGTTATAACCGTAGTTTACTGTAGTATAATACGTCATAAAAGGAACTTATGCCATTTCTTGTCTCTCTCGTGTTCTGAAGCTGTCACTTCCAGTTTGTCACGCAAGACAAGAAAGTACAAATATCATCTGTATATCTATATAAGATTAATAATGTCACGAAACGTGAATACCGTATTTCCTTTATTAAATGCGCACCTCTACGTGGTCATGGGAAAAGGTTTTGAAATAAGAATTAGATTAGCTGCCGATAATTATTTCTCTCTATTACATTTGAATGCTACTTAGTGTACTAAACCTCTCGTCGTTGATCCGAAGGAATAAGGATTGCCCTTCATTTAGTGCGTGAGTGAGCGAGTATTGTTTTACAACGCTTATCGCAATATTTCAGTTATATCAGTCTGGGGATCCTACCGTCCTCGCTTAAATAAAAACCGGGTCTAAATGTAAACTGAAGTTAATAGATATTCATCGTTTAACGCTTCTGATTTTAGGTACATACGTATTAAACGGGAGCTTTTCGGGGCCATTTTTTTGCTTTTTAATCTTTTTCTTGAAATTTCAAGATACCAAGTTGAAATTTCAGGATACATACTAAATATAAATTTCAAGATACCATGTTAAAATTTCAAGATACTAGGTTGAAACTTCAAGAAGTTATGTTGAAATTTCCAGATGCTAAATTAAAATTTCAAGATACTAAGTTGAAATCTCAAGATTCAATGTTGAAATTTCAACTTAATATCTCGAAATTTCAACATAGCATCTTGAAATTTCAAGAAAAAAGGGAAAAACTAAGTGGCCGTAAAAGGCTTCCGTATATTAAGGTTCAGTCCGTGTAACCTCAATGCTTCATCTGACGTTCCAGGACGACAGGTGCAGATTCAAGAGAGCCAATGTGGGTGCCACCGATACAGGCTTCACGATCATCCAGCGCGGTAGCGAGTCTGATCTTCAGAATGCCGTTGCCACGGTTGGCCCGATCTCCATCGCCATCGACGCAAGTCGCCCCACCTTCCGTCTGTACAAGAGCGGCATCTACGACGACCCGTCGTGCAGCTCAACGCATCTGGACCACGGCGTTTTGGCTGTTGGATACGGCACAACCAGCGAGGGTGTGGACTACTGGCTTGTCAAGAACAGGTGATTAGTTTTGATCAGTAGGGTAGTGCTCTTGTTTGTATGTACCAGGCAATCTGTTTGGAATAATGTGTTGTCTCTGAAAATATTGGACTCAGCTTCTTTTAGAAGCTTTCAATATTGGCCGAACATTTTCGATTTTCTGAAAGAAAACAAATTGTGTTTACATTGTTGTCTATATTGCTGTTTTCATCTATTTTCATCGCTGTCTTCATCTATTTACATCGCCGTCTTCGTCTAGTTACATCGCTCACTTTATCTGTTTACATAGCTGTCTTCATCTATTTACATCATTGTCTTCATCTGTTTACATCGTTGTCTTCATCTGTTTACACCGCTGTCTTCATCTGTTTACATTGTTGTCTTCATATGTTTACATCACTGTCTTCATCTGTTTACACCGCTGTCTTCATCTGTTTACATCGCTGTCTTCATCTGTTTACATCGCTGTCTTCATCTGTTTACATCGCTGTCTTCATCTGTTTATAGCATTGTCTTTAACTGTTTATATCATTGTCTTTATCTGTTTATAGCATTGTCTTTATCTATTTACATCGCTGTCTTCATCTGTTTACATCGCTGTCTTCATCTGTTTACACTGCTGTCTTCATCTGTTTACATCGCTGTCTTCATCTGTTTACACCGCTGTCTTCATCTGTTTACATCGCTGTCTTCATCTGTTTACATCGCTGTCTTCATCTGTTTACACCGCTGTCTTCATCTGTTTACATCGCTGTCTTCATCTGTTTACATCGCTGTCTTCATCTGTTTACACCGCTGTCTTTATCTGTTTACATCGCTGTCTTTATCTGTTTACACCGTTGTCTTAATCTGTTTATAGCATTGTCTTTATCTGTTTATATCATTGTCTTCATCTGTTTACACCGTTGTCTTCATCTGTTTATAGCATTGTCTTTATCTATTTACACCGCTGTCTTCATCTGTTTACACCGCTGTCTTTATCTGTTTACATAGCTGTCTTCATCTGTTTTATCAGCTGGGGAACATCCTGGGGAGACCAGGGATATCTCAAGATGTCCAGGAACAAGGACAACCAGTGTGGTATCGCCACCTCGCCCAGCTACCCCATTGTGTAATGGACCCGTCCACGACGTGACACCATTTTAAATTCAGAATTACTACTCTGATACGACACCTTCTGACAAACCCTCCGTAGAAGGCCGCGCCATGTGTACCCAATTAAAACGATGGATGCATGAATACTTGATCGAAATGTCAGCTTTCTAAAACAACAGGATGCATCCATATCGAAATAACCTTGGATGTTAGTTCCTGAGATACAGAAATCAGAAATGCTCCGAATCCTTCTCTCTCGCCTACCGAGAATTTAGTAAACTCTACGCTGATTGGATGATTAGAATGTTCACGTGATACGACCTCCAATGAAGGGTTTGTCCGATCTTCTTGCAGAGAGACGACGTATCCTGTAACATATGAATGTAATGATACTGTATTTTGGTGAAATGATGTATGTTATGTCAAATACAAGAATTGTTCAAAGATTTCAATGATTTATTTTGTGAACACAACGTAATCAATAAAATGTCAAAGATAGAAAGTGTTGGAATGGTTTGTCTACTAAAATATGATAATGATGTGTCATCTGATTTTAAAGACTTCTGTAGTAAGTTTGACTAATCGGTTTTTGTGAAACAATTGTCAAAGAGAAATCTGAATTCACCAATTTCCTAAAGTCTATGATGTATTTAACTGTGTACGAGAAAAGGCAAAAAGAAGCAAAGTGGTGGTTTAACAGTTCTTATCAAACATTTCTTCCTGGTTAACGATCTTATATACCGAATTTGTGATCGGTTTGAGGCCACTGATGTATTAGTGGTTTGCACATCACGATTAGGATTGCAAAAAGATATCAATATGTTTTTTGTATATGTATCACCAGAAGGTTCACCTGTACATAACGCCAGGGATACTGACGGTATCTGACTGTTTGACTATATTGAACATGTTATCAGCTCCCTCCCGAATCACAATACCCTATTTGGGGGGAGGGTAATGGGAGAATGAGAGACTTTCTTGATTTTATTCCAAATGACAACCTTCACATACAAAGTTCCAGTGAAGACTATCCGTCAAACAGCTTTGAAATGCCAAGAAAAACTCGAGGTAAGATATCTTACAACAATTATGCAATCACACTCTTTATGGTTGATTATTGCCAAATCGTTCTAAACTTATACAGGTCTTTTATGTCCGTTTCATTGTGTTCACACTGTACTAGCTCACGGCGTGTTATTAACGAGAAATGTGACAGTTTGTTACATTTCACACGGTCACATTGTCCACGTAGCACATGTAAGCGTGTATAAATACAATCTCATTAAAATCAGATCTTAGTTTCCCCTTCCGCTTAACAAAGATCTGAGGACATCACATTACGGGTCACGTCAGAACGACCTCTCGCGAACTTTGACCGATCAATGAAATGACTGACAAGAAATCGACATTAGCCAATCAGAAGGCAGCTTTCTCGAGCTTTACGACACTAGTTTCAAACTGGTGACTACGCTTCGAAACATTGTTTGACGTATTCTCGGTTAAAAAAATTTAAAACTGATAAAAAGAACATTCTGGAATGGCTTACAGATATCCTAGATTGTATGGATATAATCATAAAACCGCTCATACCAAAAGACGTTAAAATGGTACTTGTTGTTACCCTGCCTTGGGCTCGGTATTAAATGGCCCAAACCAAGACTGGTCGGCTGCGACCGTCATGGTTTATTCTCCTTCCAGTGTTTTATTGTACGATAAACAACTCCCACTCGTCATGTGTTTCTTAAATAGAACACATATGTAACTTGATGTAAAACGTGAAATTATATTAAAACATTTAACTTACTTGAACGATACAATATTTTCACGAAGTATTAAATTTACATTGCCAAACATTACAAACAATTAACATTGTATACATCAATGTATTGCCATGTACAACCGTACTACAGGGGGGCATGGGTGGCCCAGTCGTCTAAGGCGCCGCGATTCGCTGTGCAGAGTTGCGTCCCTTGGGCACGCCAGAAACCTATGATTGTGGGTTCGAATCCCGGTTCGCCCTGATTATGTTTCTAGGTTTGTCAGCACCATACCCGTGCTCGTGGGTTTCACCGAAGTGGTAAACGTCTGAGACCTGCATCACTTCGGACTTTCCTCCCACATTAAGCTGACACGCCGTGATGTAACTTGAATGCTGTTAAAAGCGGCGTTAAACCCAACTCACTCACTCACTTATACAACAATGTATGCGCTCATTGATCATTCCCCAAAAATAGCATTTACACGATAAGGACAAACTCGCTCCATTACAAATATTCAGAAATTTGAGAAAAAATACGGAGAGATAAAGGTGTACCAGATGACCTTATTTTCCTACTTCTGAGATAAGGAAGAGGCCACGTTTTCCTCCCAGGTGCTGTATTTAAAAGTTGGACTTATTTTGTAAACATAACTCACAACAGACAGTCAGGGATTGCAGACACTATCTAAGGTGAGGCTCTTACCATTCTAACCTAATAATACCACAAGGTAAATAACTCCCCATGTGGTACTACGTAAACAGGTGGTGATGAAAAAATCATAAATGTATTATGAAGTACATACATATTTCATATATATATTAGATATAATATTCTAGGTCATATAGAACAGTCTGCTTTCTGATATACCAGAAAAGAAAAATATGTATACATACAAAACAAATATAGATAAATTCTGATAGCCCCCGGTTTATCACTTGACAAACGGGTATATTTGGAAAATACAATTGAAGGTAAAATAGCGATGCTTTTTGGGGTAGGAATACAAACTGGATTATATATGGTCTATCGTGTATAAAAACAGTCAGATGAGTGGTCTAACCAACCTAACTGTCCAATCTTTGTGTCAAGAGTCGCTGCTGGTTGATCTACACCCATGACATCCGTCAGGTTATTATTATCATGACGACTAACACCAGGGATAGCCATCCAGGGTCGTGACTTTTTCTTAAATTTGCTTGAAATTCTGACATTTTGTTGCTTCGTCTGTTACATGGCAGTGTAATGTGTTATTAAACAATGATTGAAACGATATTACATTGTTTCTGTTGAGATTCAGTAGACGTTCATTGCATTCTATTTGGACAATGATTAGTTGTCAGGAATGTAGCATGGATGGATGTCCTATTCCACAAACTATATATATATATTACTCATACTTATAATGCATCAGTTGTTCACGTGTAGATTTTGTCTTTTCTGTTTCGAATTTTTGGTGACCCAATACAAGATGCCGGTCCAACATGTGTCAAGCGTTTTAAAATCATGTAGAATATTCTATGATGTTTTTACTGACACTGTGATCATCCAGTTATATCATGTTAGTGGTATGGCCCTGTACGTTTCCCATCCGACAAATTTAACTTACCTGATTTCTCAATGTTTTATATAGTAGCTAAATTGAGCAAAAACTCCGATGCTATTTTCATTCATATGCTGTTAGGAGTTGTCAGTCCGGTGTGTCTACAGGTACTTACCCATGTTATCCCTCTCATGTATGCAATTGTCGTTATTGTTAATCCTCCACTGTTACTCCTCCACCTACAATATATATTCTGTACAATGTCCCTCATTCAGTCTTGCTTGACAACGGTATAAGGATCTATACCGAAACGTCGCTTTTTACATTATTAAAAAAGTTGTTATCCATAAATTGTGTCTACTTTGAAAACACAAGAATGCTTGACAAAAGAGACCATTTAACTCGGTAATAGAACATTTTCAGAATTAAGCTTTTTGTTTTCTTTTTTTATTTTGGGGGGCGGGGAAGAGGAGTAGAGGGATAAGGAATTAAGCCAGGGTCAGTGTCTTCTGAAGTTAAAAAAAAAAGATTAGAAAAGATTTCTTTTGATTTTGGATTCAGAAGAGAAATACCGTTTATTCTTTTGGGGATCAATCACGTATTCTTATTTTGATATCATCCAATCAACGGACATTTAGACATTAACTGCTTGATTCTCTGCATAGTGTATCATTTGAGTACAGCAGCAAGCAAGAGTCAAGGGGTGTAGAGATTATTAACTGTTGATGTTGTTCTACTGTAACCAGGCAGGGCAAGATATGTCAGTTAAATGGGTTGGCAAAACTGACAAACAAGAATATATACACATGCACAAAAGTTAAGCGCCACCATATTTATAGTCTCTTGATTTCACGTGTGGGAATCAGAAATACGAAATATGATGATGTATGACTGAATTAGGCTTCCATAGTTTCATGAACCCAAATTTGTCCAGATACCACAAGGAAAGCGTGCTTTACGTGTTGCTGCAGTTCCCCTACCCTATAAATAGTGAAATTCAAGTTTCAGACACGTGGTTGCATTTTGCTCCTGTGTGAGATTCCCCTTCCAATAGAGGTTGAAAATCAGCCATGGTGAGGAGAATGTCAACGAACGCTGAAAGATGGCAAGTGATAGGCATGAAAAATGCTGGCATGTCATGCAGGGCCATTGCAAGACAAATGGGTCGTCATCACAATGTTATCATTCGTTTGATTGTCAAACATGGTCAAACAGGCATAGGTCAATGACAGGCATAGGTCTGGTAGGCCAAGAAAGACCTCTAACAGAGGATAGACGTCTTTTCAGGATAGTCAGACGAAATCCATTTGCCACTTCAACAGATTTAAGACTGCAGTGGATTACCCATCAGAGACGATGACCGTAAGGCGTCGCCTCAGAGCGGCTGGTTATTACGCCAGAAGACCAGTAAAACGTCCTCAACTGACTGAGAGGCACATGCGGAATCGTCTGATATGGTGTCGTGCCCGTAGTCGATGGAACTTGGCCAACTGGAGAAGGATCCATTGGTCTGACGAGTGTCGAATGCTGCTACGAACTGTTGATGGTCGAATACGTGTTTGGAGGCAACGTACACTCGTTTTGCACCAAGGCACATCCAGAAAACCTTAGCATGTGGCGGGGGGTCTGTCATGATATGGGGTTGTGTTTCCTTCGGCTGCAAACTTCCGCTGGTGACAATTCGTGGAAACCTGAATGGCCAACAATACCAAGAAGCCGTTCTTCGTCCAGTGGTAGTCCCTCATTTTGACAACCATCCTCTTCAGACAAGACCTGTTTACATGGACGACAATGCTAGACCACACAGATCTCGGGCAGTTTTGGCTTATTTGCGTCAAGAAGCTATTGACACTCTTCCTTGGCCGGCCTGTAGTCCAGGTCTTAATCCGATTGAGCATCACTGGGACATTCTTGGCCGGAAAATCAGACATCGTGATCCCCAAGTTCAAAATCTCGCTGGACTTGAAGCCGCACTTCATGAAGAATGGATACGTTTGCCTCAATGACGTGTAACGAGTATGAGGCGTAGGGTTGAAGCTGTGGTCAATGTCCGTGGATCATACACACGTTACTGACGTTTCTGTCTTGCAATAGACTCTGCACTCCCTGGGGTGTCTATGTGACACCTGATATGGTCTGCTGATATCATGACAGTTACATGACAAAAAAATGTTTTTCAATGTTTTCTAATCTTTCAATTTC